TCTGATGTCTCCAAGAGCATCGTCGAGAGGTCGAGCAAGACCTGTTGGTCGACTGGCCCTGACGGTGACGCTGCTTCCATGGTGATCCTGTCGATGTCGCTGAGCTCCAGCCATCCAGCGCCTTGCTGCTGCCCGGCGGCTTGGGGCTCTTGGGCTTGCTCCTCGCACTCCTCTTCCTCCTGAGAGCTGACAGTGGGTTTGAACCCCACCGCCTCCAGCTTGACTTCCAGGATCCCTTCCAAGTAGAAGGGCATGTCTTCCATCAAGCGTCGAGCCTCTGCCTTGGTCGCCAGGGAGAGAGCTATCAGGCTCCCATCCCAGCTGAGCGTGTCACGATCCTCCTCGACCTCGACGCTGACAAGCTTGAGGTTCATTCTTCTTGCTAACTCCAACATGGCTCGCTTGACTCTCGTGATCGATGTGTTACCTCCTCCGCACAGCGCTTCCATCTCCTTCCTCGAGAAGCGGCCTGTGCTCATGCTTGACCTCGACTTGATCTGTACTCTGAAGCTGCTGCGCCCCGCATGATCTCTCTCGCGAAGTGCCCTCCTTTGCTTGGCAATCTTTCCCCTCGGCACGAAGGTGTCGGCTGTGAGCTCGACTGCAAACGTCTCTCTGAGCTTGACGTCGTCGCTGATGAGAGTGAGATGCACCCCCTCCATCGCCTCGCTCTCTCTGAACGAGGCCAAGGTCTGCTCGCAGCTTGCCGTCGAAGGCGAGCTGAGCACCCACTCTAGCTCTCTCTGCTGGAGAGCTCCGGTACTTGCCCCAACAGCAACATACGTCTTCGGGCTCGGCCCCTTGCGACCTCTCTGCCCAGGACCCTGCACGAGCATGCCCGCAAGTGGTTGTACCTCTGCGGCTGCAAGAGATTGCGAGAGCAGCTGAAATCGATAGATCTGAGCGATCTCAGCCGTCGACATTCCTCCAAGAGCTAAGAGCTGTGATAGCTCGGCAAGGCTCCCTCCCTTGCCCCAAGGTCCTCGCTTGGCTCGAAGCTTGAACGACCGGTCATGTGCAATGCTCACCTCTGTGGCTCGAAAGACTCTCCCTTCGATGGCGTATTCTGTCCTGCCTTCGAACATACATCGAACATACATCGAGGAAATCCCTAGGAGAGTCATGGAGATGAAGGAGGTCCCCTCGGTGCCTTCGGTGCCGATGTATGTCTCGACATTCTGCTTCTTGGCCTCCTCCATCTGTTGAATAAACCATGCTCTCGACTCTGAGCTCCATTCGCTCAGAGAGTCTTCAAACAGGTCGCGTCTCGCCTGCCGACATGTCGAGCGGATGGCTTCAGCGATAGCGTCGGGAGTGCATCCCCCCTCAGCTCTGCAAGCATAAGCTGTCCGACTATTCGGATAACGCTTGGTGAAGTTCTTCACCTTCTCGACGAGGTCGGCGGCCTCCTCGACGTGGCCTCCAGAGCGCTCACCCTGCGTGTATTGGCATGATCTCCGATACAGCAGGTTGCGAACGCTCTCATCATACTGTAGTACCATGCTTAGAAAGCTGTTTGAACTATACGAACCTCTTGCTCGCAGCTTCCACCGGTCCCCTTGCGCTCTCCCTACGCGCCGCAGGGCAGCATGCTCTTACTAAGGGCCGGCTGCTCTTACTAAGGGCCGGCTGCTCTTACTAAGGGCCGGCTGCTCTTACTAAGGGCCGGCTGCTCTTACTAAGGGCCGGCTGCTCTTACTAAGGGCCGGCTGCTCTTAGGCTAAGGGCCGGCTGCTCTTACTAAGGGCCGGCTGCTCTTACTAAGGGCCGGCTGCTCTTACTAAGGGCCGGCTGCTCTTACTAAGGGCCGGCTGCTCTTACTAAGGGCCGGCTGCTCTTACTAAGGGCCGGCTGCTCTTACTAAGGGCCGGCTGCTCTTACTAAGGGCCGGCTGCTCTTACTAAGGGCCGGCTGCTCTTACTAAGGGCCGGCTGCTCTTACTAAGGGCCGGCTGCTCTTACTAAGGGCCGGCTGCTCTTACTAAGGGCCGGCTGCTCTTACTAAGGGCCGGCTGCTCTTACTAAGGGCCGGCTGCTCTTACTAAGGGCCGGCTGCTCTTACTAAGGGCCGGCTCTGCTCTTACTAAGGGCCGGCTGCTCTTACTAAGGGCCGGCTGCTCTTACTAAGGGCCGGCTCTGCTCTTACTAAGGGCCGGCTCTGCTCTTACTAAGGGCCGGCTGCTCTTACTAAGGGCCGGCTGCTCTTACTAAGGGCCGGCTGCTCTTACTAAGGGCCGGCTGCTCTTACTAAGGGCCGGCTGCTCTTACTAAGGGCCGGCTGCTCTTACTAAGGGCCGGCTCTGCTCTTACTAAGGGCCGGCTGCTCTTACTAAGGGCCGGCTGCTCTTACTAAGGGCCGGCTCCTAAACCCTAAACCCTAAACCCTAAACCCTAAACCCCTCTTGTGGGTTTCCACCCATGCTGAGTGCACTGACCTATCGGTGGTAGCCTCGTGTGCGTTGCTGCTTGCTGTTAGGATTTGCTCCTCCGCCTCCGATGCCCATTGAAGGTGGGACGCGTACCTCTCTTGCATCTTCGTTGGGGCTGATGGCTCCTCCTCCCCCCTAGTCTCCTTGTCGTGCTTCGAGTTTGTCTCTGCGTGCATGTCTGGTGGGGGGGAAGGTGGCTGGAGTGGAGAGACGGGGCATGGGGCGGGAGGTGGTGGAGGGGGGTATGGCAGGATGTCCCCCTGAGCTGACCTGTCTGGTATTTGCAGGGCCGCTCCGTCTTTCCATCTCTCCTCTAGCCATGCATCTTCGGCTACCTGGGTCATCTGAAGCTCGCCTGCGCGTTTTTGGCCATTCTCTCGCCTTTCCATCTGGTTAGGTCTACGTTCCATGGTGAGCTTTGCTGCTTGCCATTCCTTGTAGCCTGTTTCAGGCTTGCGCGTGTTGTAACGCTCTGCAGATAGAGGTGGACAAGAGGCGGAGCGGAGCTGTGGGCCCCATGGGGGGAAGGAGGAAGAAATAAATGAGGTGGACATGGGGCAAGCAACGAAGGTAAGGGCAGGTAAGCCGGTGGGGGAGGGGGGAGGAGGAGGCCGGGCGGAGGCCGGCCGGGCTCTCGGGCCCGGTCCGGACCGAGGCCCGGGGGACTCGGAAGGGACGTGAGTTCCAGGGACCCATATGCATTCCACCTACCACCTTATCCCTCATTCACTCACTGGCCGAAGGCCGGCCGAGACCGCCAAGGTGTGTCGGAGACGAGGAAGCAACACAAGTTGAAAGCACGGACGACCCAGGCCAAGGCAGGCGGAGGAAACTCCACTGGCTGAGGCCGGGGAAGACCACTGAAGTATATCAGAGGAGGGAGCAGAGCAGAAGCACGGCTGCCATAAGGGCCAGCCAAGTCGGGCCGAACTGCCAGGTCACGAGATCCCTGTTAGACTAGAATAGAGCAAGGTGATAACAAGCCATGCAAACTACCTAGCACACGCAGAGCGGACTTGTGGATGCCTCTGTCCTCGAAGCTGATCTCGTCGAGAGGGTGAAGAGCTTCGCGAAGCGTTATCCGAACAGCAGGACAGCCCAGGCTTGCAAGGCTGTGGAGGGATGCACCCCCGACGCTATCGCAGAAGCCATCCGCTCGACATGTCAGCAGGCACGACGTGAGTTTCTGCAAGAAGCGATGACTGGATGGAGTGACGCATCCAGAGAGTGGTTTATGCAGCAGATTGAAGAAGCCAAGAAGGAGAAGGTCGAGACATACACCGCCTCAGCAGGCAACGAGGTGACTTCCTTCATCTCCATGACTCTCCTGGGCATCTCCTCGGTGTATGTCAACCATGAAGAAAAGCTGAAGAAGAAATTTGAAGAGATCGGACTGATCGTAGACTCAGTGCAAGAGAGTAAAGCAATCATGTGGAAGGCTCCGTATAGACCCGAGATAGCGAGTGCTGAGGAGATCCCGGTGACTGTTTCCTTCCTCCGCAATGCACAAGCGGAGAAGCTCTGGCAGGGAAGAGAGGACTTCGCGATCGATGGTCGCAAGTTCACAGCTGTACATGTGAGCATCATGCACGATCGATCTTTCAAGATTCGAGCCAAGAGAGGACCCTGGGGCAAAGGGGGCAGCTTGGCAGAGCTGACTCACCTGCTAACCTTGGGCGGCATGACAACGGCTGAGATAGCTGCCGTCTATCGCTATCAGCTGCTGCGCCAGTCCCTTGCAGCGGTCCAACTCCAGCCGCTGGCAGGCATGCTGGTCGCTGGGGCGCCAGGACAGCAAGTCCACAAAGGCTTAGGTCAGAAAGGCTTCATCGCTGTAGGGGCCAACGTCATCTGGAGACAGAGGGAGGTGGAGTGGATCGTCTCCTCGAGCTGCCCAGAGGCGAATGATACAGCATTTCGAGCTTTCCGAGAGAGCGAAGCGATGGAGGGAGTACACCTGACTCTGTTCAGCGAGGACCCGAAGATCAGAGAGGCGCTCGCAGTCGAGTTGACAGCTGATCGCTTTGTGTCCAGAAATAAATTGAAGAAGGCATCAAGGATGTAGAAGAAGGCAGGCGGCAAGGACGGCAAGGAGATCAAGATCATCATCAAGTCGACGGCGGCATCTGGTCGCTTCACGAGGAAGGAGATGGAGGGGCTGTGCAACGGCGGCAACACGTCTATCGCAAGAGTCAAGAGAGTCTTGTTGGAGATCGCTAACAGGCTCGAGATCAACGTTCGGAAGGCATCGACATGGAGGAGGATTTGAACACCAAGTCCTGGAACGGGTCCAAGCTATGCATCCTCCTCGGCTCCACGGAGGATGCTCGACGCATGATGAAGGAGCTGCCCTTCTATCTCGAAGGCGCAGCAACCAAGCTCGAAGCAGTCGGCTTCGACAAGGAGCCTGACTCTGAGGCGGCTGGTCAGCGGGGCACCAGCGACGCAGCGCAGCGACAGGAGGAGAGCGAGGGAGAGTGGCTGGAGTTTACAGACCTGGAGAGCCGGGATCACAATGGAGGCAGCATCTCCGTCAAGCCAAGAGGACATGCCAGCTCGTCAGCGAGCTGTCAGCAGTCATCGAAGATGCAGCTTCCAGAGCGCTCGCCCTGCGTGGTTGCGAACGCTCTCATCATACTGCAGTACCATACTTAGAAAGCTGTTTGAACTATACCAAGAACTTGCTCGCAGCTTCCTCCTGTCCCGTTGCGCTCTTCCTACGCGCCGCAGAGTCGGAGCAGCATGCTCTCAGTACTAAGGGCCGGCTGCTCTTACTAAGGGCCGGCTGCTCTTACTAAGGGCCGGCTGCTCTTACTAAGGGCCGGCTCAGTCCTAAACCCTAAACCCCCGGTAGTAATTGCTCGCCTCATGTCCTGGAATGATGTGAATTCGGTTTCCTGGCAGCTTCGCAACTTCCCCTGGCACAGAGTCTTGGTCGAGGGGTAGGATATCTTCCTTCTCCGTATCCTCCCAAAGTACTATAAAAGTAGAGTATCATCGGTCGGCCGACCAAAAAAGAGCGACCCACCCCACCTGCCCGCATGTCTTCTGCTACCGTACGTTAACTTTGCCAGCCGCGGCCTCTGATGTTGAGTAACATTTGAGTCACTCCACCCCACCATCCCCCACCCCCCAATGATTGAATCCTGTACCGTACTACCTAGACTCTTTACTCAAAGTTAAGTGAAAAACTCACTTTGCTGTACCCTTCACCCCCCTTTATGGGCGAGTCTTGTGGAGGGACACGGGGGATGCTAGCTGAACCCGATGGTAGGCCCGTACTACTCACCAAAGGAACGGGAAAGGAGCAGCAGTCAGTTGAACATTTGCACCGGGTAGGGTTTAAAAAAAAGAAGCAGGGACAGAGATGGGTAGGGTAGTCGAGGTAAATAAGCTCCCGCTTATTGGACAAAGGGATGATGGGGGTACCAGGGATCATATATAAAGGGTAGGGGTGGCTTGACAGATGAGGGTGGGGTCGGGCTTGGCGGTTCAGTAACGCACAGCATGGGCAAAGCATAGTGGACCAGAAAGCATGATGATGTCTGTGTGAGAGAAGAAGCGATACTTTATCAGATCTTCGTATGCAATTCAAAACAAAGACCGCATCTGCTACATGACACCTGTCAAAATCATGCATGGCTCTTGAATCAAGTTGCAGCAAATAACGATGAAGATGCAACCCTCAGAGTTCAGGAAAGACAGCTCCTTGTTTGACAAAGTCATCCTAGAAGAGGTCAGATGTGAGATATGATCAATGTAACTCGATTGATTCTATGTTTCGCAGGAGGAAGGCTTGGGTTTGAGAATAGGAACTGCCAGCTCTGAAATTAACACGAGAAGCACGGGGAACGCGTCTAGGCATCAGGTGGTTCGCCCTTCTGAGCCAGGAAGTGTTCATGACAGACCTCAGACCACTCATTTTCACAAGGTGAGCATCGTCTGCATTATGAGCTTATTAACGATGATGCAGGGGCGATCTGACACCAATTCCAATGTTACGCGAAGGAATCAGGTCAAAGACATTACGAAACAAAGTGACATCACAGAACTTCAAGCAAGAAATACACCTCGACAGAATAGTTGCACAAGTCGCAAGCATAATATACCAAGCCTTTGCATTCCGGCCCCGATATCTGCTAGCTCAACAAGATCGAATACCGGTGTAAGGTCAGTAAGCAGCGCAAGAAATGACCAAGGTCTCCGAATACCCTTGAAACCTAAGCCCCCCTATGAGGATGGAGTTAGGTGCACCCCAAGGCCAGGAATAGAATTCAACGAACAGATGACATTTAGAATTATGGAGAGGCTGCACACTAGATTGCGATCCTCTCCATTGGCATGCTCAGCAAGGCCATGGACTTCAAGCTCTAAGAAAAAGTCACAACGCGCTCAAGCCAGTCCTCCCGCAGATCATGACAAAGATTCTGAACACAAGTTGTTCGATAATGGAGAGAATATTGAGAGACCTCGATGTAAGAGACCAGCGTGGAACAACAGCACATTGAATACTCTGTTTAACCCAAGAAAAATTGACATTTCCCCAAGAAAGTGGCAACTGATGAATGGAGCGAAACGACCTGCTACAACCAATATCCGGGTAAATGCTGTGACGATGAAGGATAATGAAACCATGGAAAAAATGGTCGTTGAGAGCAAAACAAATCAGAAAATTGTTGATGGCAATGTCGATGCGAAACAGTCTCTTGGAGCTGAAAGGTGAAATATTTGTTAACGCATTCTGCTCCCGAACTGAAATGTGTGAAAGAAGGTTGATGATCCCACCATTGCCATTCTGTCCCACGGATTTACAGCAGCTCGAAAGACCTGAAACTCGTAGGGGGCTGTCCTCTTCAAGTCGTTCATCATTGTGGAGTAGAGAGTTCGCGGAATTGCAAACAGGGGTGACAGAGAAGATGAATCTTGGCCCTGCTTTCATGAGTGGTAGGGAATTCGAGCCTCTTTACACAGAGGGCGAGCAAAAGCGTTTGCTTTCTGATATGGGGTATGGAAATTGGATATTGCAAAAGAGAATCGTGTAACAAATTGACAGGTACGACGACGAAACCTTTGAAAGTGATGAAGATGAGATTGAGGAAGAAATCATCGGCTCACTATCAAAAGGGGAGAGTTTCCCTCGCATACGGTACGTGTCCAATATAGATGCAGAGATACGTGCAGAAAGGGGGCTGCATGACAACGAGAACTCTCACAGAAATTTTCTTCCTCTACGTACTACCCGATGAATGAGAAAACGTTGTCACAACTTGAATATTTACTTAAATAAAACCATTATTCATGATTAAACGACTCAACTTTTTTACATTCAGGATTAATTCCTTGACTTCACAGATCACCTTGATTATGTGTCGCAACGTCATCTCACTCATCGTTTTCTCTTGCTCCCAACAGACATCTGATCACCAGCAAGGCCTGCTAGATTCGCCACCTGAAACAATTGCATCCTCAAATCTTGAGGGAAAAGCCTCGTACGATCTGAGGTTTTATGATCCGAGGCATTGCCCTCAAGGGAGATGGAGGTGTTCTCTTTCATCGGATGTGCATCTATGCTCATCCGCATTTCTTGTTCCACGCCTACAGTTCCTCCTACCATCATGGTCAGTGGAGCTGCAAAGAGGTCAATACTTCTTCCAAACCTTCAATCTTCACACCATGAGCAAGGCTTGTGCCTTGATCCGGCGCACCCTTCTCTGTTTTGATTGGCTGTGTGGAGGACGAATGATTCCTCCGCTGCTGCGCAACACGCAGAGCATGAGCCTCGTAGCGGCAAGCTTTGCTGCAGAAACGTCCCTGAAAAGTCTCACGTAAGATAAGTTGACCTTAGTACAAACCTCACCGTTCCGTAACTTCCATCATTCATCGATTTGCACATTTCACAGACTCTCTGCTGATTCATCATGTGTTGCTCCAAGCTGTTTTCACTTGCCAGCCCTTCAGCAATGCTTTCTTGTCCTTTCGTAGAAAACACAGCAGCCGTTGCCAGGGATTCCAGACCTCGAAATTCCTCCCCACGCTCATTGCTTGGTCCTTCGACCGCCTAAGATGACATCAGCTGCCAAGTAAACGGGGGATAAAACCTCACCTGCCGATTCCTCGCAGGGAATGAGATGTACTTCTTACCTCCCCCGAAAGTGACAGCGTGGCTCATTAGTGGGCCATTCAACATGTCTGCAAGTGCCAAAGCTCCTTCGTAGCCTCTCAATAACTCCATCGTAACTCCGACGGATGGGTCGGTGATAATCTCTTTGATCAGCTTCACAGCTCTCGTCTTTGCTTGCTTTCTTAAGCAATCTACAACCTGTCTCGATTCAGATCAGTTATGCAAAACTGCAACACTTGCAACAACATTGGCATCGCTGACATCCAAGGTCCTGGAATCGTACGAAACTGCAATGGGGAGAGCATGCGAGAGGATCACAAAAGGGGTAGGTCTTTGCGTCTGGTTAGCACTGACATATCTGAAATCCAATGATCAACCATTGATTGCAGTCATGCCAAATACGACTCACTCTCGTGCAGCTTTGGCATCTTCACTGTTTGCTACAAATAGCCGCATTCTCAATGGAATGCTACCGTATTTGGGAAGTTCGATGGAACAATGATGCTCTTTGGGAACCTGAAAAACATTACAAGTCGCACAGAGCATGGCCAATCGTCACTGGCATACCTTGTTCATCAACTGTTTAAGGCGATGAAGCAACTTTGGTTGAGTGTTCCGAGCTATCGTCCCTTCTCCGATGGCGATGACAGTCAGACTTACAGGAAAGTGTGATTCTGTTATTCTTCTCGATGGAAAATTGCCCTTGGCATGGCCTTCACTCTTCGCTTGACTCACGGAGGGTTTGTCGTTTCCTTGTTGATTGTCTACCTGTGAGCTCTCGACAACCCCGTCGGCGCCTTGAGCAAGGTCGCCTTGTCTGCGGACAGCAGGAAAGGAGATAAATCTCGTCGACCCGGGTTCACCATCCAGGGGAGTCGCGCGTTGCATGATCAAAGCCTCCAGACGTTCAGCAGGGACCAGAGGTCCATGTCTGCCCCGTAGCATCGCGGCTGTGACACCACTGGCCTCGTCCCAGATCACTTCGCGAAGAAGCTTGATCGCTCTTGTCTTCGCTTGTTTCCTGAGCCTGTCTGCAACCTGATCACCAGCAAACGTCAATCGAAAAATTGCACAAATCAAAGTGTCACATTTGCATTTGTTGGATCCAAAATCGCTGTGTCGTAGGCGACTGCCATAGGAAGTTGTCTCGCCAACATAATGAAAGGACAAGGAACTTGATCGTGATGTGATGTGATGTAATCTTTGAGCGCCTTGGCCTCTACACTACTGGCGGCAAACACACGAAGTTGAATGTGAAGGGCTCCTTCTCCTTTCACATTGACCACAGTGTTTTGCTCCTTGGAGACCTTCTTCACCACCTGATAATCCAGGGTTTTGAGCTGCTACATTTGTAGTCGATGACAACTTGCCTGATCTAGAATTTCTTTTGTCTTGGGCGGGGTATCAGGATTGACATCTCCATCACCAACAGCTGCAACGAACAGATGAACTGGGAGGTATCGAAGTGATCCTGACGCTGCTGTTTCCCCTGCAATCATTTCAGTCTAAATTTTGAAGTATGTTCAATTCAACCTGCTGGCGCTCTCAGATCCGCAGACGTTCCGGCGATCTCAGCTTGGCCATCGCTATCACTCCCATGCTGGTCCGAATGAGACTCTGCATCGAAACCAGGAGCCAGGGAACGGACTGGCTGCAGTGAAATTCCTTTTCCCGTCTAAAAAAGACTCATCAGAGACCATACGTTTATGAATACTGCTACCGTTGGCCTTTGTACCGCAGTTGCATCCTGAAAAGAGTCTGCAGAAAGTAAGCGACACAGAGACAATAATTTCATCATGTTAGTACTTGTGAATCGTGGCGGCTGAAGCACAGGACGCGATTCACGGAAATGTCGGGGCGACCTGATTGTATACATTTCACCAATTACAATATAGAGGAAACATCATTAGAACCACGGGCTCCGGCTGGAGGAGAGAAGGTGATCGATGTTCATCCTGTCTCGAGGAGAACGTCTCGCTGCGTTGAGGTCAACGGAAGGAGGTGAAGCCCATCCTGCGGAGCTCGATGCATGCGCTGAGGATCCGGTCCCAGCGTCTGTTGCCGACATCTTTGCCTTAGACCGCAAGCTTGACTGTTCAGTTGGTATAGGTGAGAGGCGATTGAAGTTTGACGGAGATAAAAGTGGTCTTGGCGAAGCTGCCTGTCTGTCCAATGCCATTTCTATCCTACGATCTCCCATCAACTAGCTCGCTTGCTGGTAGAGCACAGCTTCTCTGACACAGTATAAGGTGTGGCTGAATACATAATAACTGCCAGAAGGAAGCATTTCAGTTTGAAAATAGCATGTTGCATCGCTGCAGTCGCTGAGGGTTGCAGGGGGAGGTGAGGTGGAAGGTCTGGGCTGTTGGTATTCAGGGAAAGCACAAGTCATAAAAAACAAGATATCGACATGGAATGGAAAGAACTGCAGTGCAACAGAAGAGGTATGAACATTCGTTATAAGAGCCTATGATTTGCCAGTTCAAGCTTCACTATCCTGTGTCGAATAATCCTAGAATACCTTTCATTTACATACTTATTCTGTCGAATCCAATCAGCATACTAACTATCGAGTCTTTTTAAACGAAGATACTACTCAATCTCTTCGTCTCCACTCATCATGTGCCTCGCTCTCCCTTGGCTCAAATCACCACAAACTGCCTGAAGTTTGCCATCTCCCGCCTTCTTCACCATGGTTCGTCCTGAACTACTTTCACTATTGATTGGGAAGATAGTATAGAGTGTAAGTGATGGGAAGGAAGATTTTCTCGTTGAAGCTGGCAAGGCGGCAGAGCATCGAGCAAGGAGAAGTAGAAGGGATGACATCGGCATAGTGGGCGGGAAGCCGCAAGGGGAACTTCCTTGTTCCACCCCCCTGAGAAGCCTGTGACATCCATGAGGAAGAGGGGCAGCTTTTAGCTTATTGTGCTACTATAGAAATCGCCTACCTTGCCTGTGCCCTTCAACCTTGCCCTTCCCTTCCCCCATCCCCTCCCACTTCCCCACTCCCCCCTTACCCCCACCCCCTAGTTCCCACTATCCAACCTCGAAAAGCGGGTGGGGTTTGATGGCTGAGGGGCCGTGGATCCTGTAGGTTCCTGGGGGTCCTATGAAATCTAAGGGAGTCTAACACTTGGTCCTAGGCATATGAGGTCGTTGTTGAGGGGGTAGGGGTGGGGGGTTCCACGAGGGTAGTTTGGTTTTAAACTTAGTTTTAAGATTCAAATTTTGATACCACTAGTGTTGCTACATTTACTATAAATTGAAATAAAAGTTTTATATATTCTACCAGAAGAGTATTCAGATGAACTACTTCCACCATCTGGTACTGTCCATATAAAAAGGTTTTTATAATTTCATATAATCATTTTTGTTCATTTTTGATGTTTTTAAAATACAGTGCTTTTTATTATAGTCTGTGCCATGAGAAGAGGAAGGAATAAACCAAAATTATAGTTTTAAATTATTCGTAGCAAGGAGGCTCAGGTGACAGATACAAATAATCATAATAAATACAAATACAAATAATAATAAAGATATAAAAATAATCATGATAAAAACAAGGATAATAATTTACTAAATTTTGCCAGTATACTAACCGACCCGTCCCGGGCCGCAACGCACTCGGCGGCATCAATCCCATGACCCGGCGCCGCCATTCAGGGACTGGGAGTCTACCGTGACGGTACGGTAGCGGCCGGGCGGTCCGAGTCAGTGACGGTCCCGGCGAGACTGAGAGTGAGAGTCCGATCAGGCATCATCCCGGTAGCCGGGCGGCGGCCGCGGGAAGCCTGGGCTTTCAGGAAAACTTTGCCTGATTGAATCATGATAGTTAGTGGTACTCTGATGATCTCATTGTTTGTTGGTTGAAAGTTGGTCAGAAGTGTTTGGAAAAAGTTTGAGCCCTACTTGAACTGTGAACTTCTGAGAGGGGGGGCGATAGGACGGTAGCGGCCGATCCGACGGGCCAACGGCACAAATAAAGCCCACGAGTTTTAAATCAGAGCAGTCGCGCTATGTGGAGGGGTGAGGGGTCGCCAGGTGGGTGGAGTGACCCCGTCTTTTCCGTGAATTGTGCGGGTTCGAGCGGGTGGCAGACCGTGGACTTGTGACACCCTCTTCTGTCGCCGTTTTTAAAACTGAGTCGTGACTGTATTATGATACGCCGACGCGGGGTAGCACCTAGGGCCCTACTACGGTAGTACAGTGAAAGCCTCGGTCGCCTAGGCGTAGCCCTAGGCTTAGTCGTGGTTGTACTCTGTCCTCTATTCATCCTATGAAACTATAATGTATTAAGCAACGGACCTATCATATCCCTAGGACCCAATGTTCGCCTCTAAGGGCCCTAACAACACTCTTGAGTCGGAAATATGGAAGACTTGGGATGGCGAGTCGAGCAGCAGCTCCGAGATCTGACAGGAGCGGACGAAGACGAGGATGAGATCGTAGATGATGTTTCGATGAGGCAGCTTCGTTGTCCAGGCAACGGCATGTACGGCGATGATGACGATGGCTTGTCGAGCGATACAGTCTCCAACCCAGATTTGAAGCAAAGGGACTCTCCTCGCACAAATCCTGACCTAAACTATCGCGACACATGCAGAGAATCTCCACAAAAGCGAAATCCGCTGGCTCCACCCCGACTTCCCTTCCCTATGGCCGCAAGTTTCCTGTCAGAAGACACTCTTGAATTGGTTCATGGAAGCGCAGGATCTGCACAAGCCGTTCTTTTCTTTCGAATGGCTAGCATGGATTCTGGAAGCAGATCAGGGGGCAAGGCAACCTTCTTTGGGATTCATTTTCGCCAAGTTGCAAACGAACTTCTTGTTACTGATACAGTGGCTCGCTGGATCCGTGCGGTCAAGTCAGAAAAACTTGCAGCACTCTTCGAGCGATTGAGATCGGGATACAAATTGGAATCAGTGAACGACATGAGCATACGATCACTAGACCTCTCTACCTTATATTGCATGTTCCGCGGAAAACCAGGCAGTCATGTGAAACTAAGTTTTGTGCCAGTTGAGAGAGATGCGCAACAAATTCGATCTGACGACTTCACGATTGCAGATGATTCGAAGGGGTTGAAAAATGAAAGTGCTAGATTAAGTCTGATCTATCTCGTGAGCGAAAAAGTTTCCCGATCAGTGCAAGAGCCTTCAAGTCCAACAAGTAGAGGAGATTACTCATTTGACTCGATCAGGGATGCTTTCTTGAAACGAGATAGAGAGCTGGAGAGGCTACGTAGAACAAATGACGCGTTATGTCTTCGAATTCGAGAAATGGAAGAAGAAGGACAAGATCTTGTTGTCCATGTGGAGAAGGAGATGGATCGATTGGTTTCTAAAGTGTGCGATTCTTGGCAACAGCTTGAGCATCAGCTATCCAAGGAAGCACTTTGCACTGTGCGAGCCGAGCAAACTCTTGATCTCATTGAACACAACATGGAGTTGATTCGAATTGAAAGCCAAAACGCCAAAAAGCAGATTGAAAAACTGCAAATTGATCAAGGATTTGATTTCAGTTCAACAAGGAATGAATGTTGGAAGGAAATTGATGAGGCAAGAGCACAACTGACGGCTTGTGAGAAAGAGAATAGCGAGCTTAAGAAGAAATTGAAATTGCTTTGCCCGTCTGATTGCAAACCAGCCTCAACGATGTGGACAACACTGTCATTATTATTTATTTTCCTAATGTGCTTCACAGTACCCTGGGTTGTGACACTTCATGAGTACCACTCAAGGCAGTGTAATCTCATTCACTATGGAGTCCACGGCGTTGTTATGAACAAGATGAATGAGGGAATATGTGACCTCAATGATGTCGAGTATAATGAGGCAATGCTTTCCAAATCTGAAGAAATTTATGGAGAGCTTCGATGGAGACTCGCTTCAAATACTTTTCACAAACGACAAAATGCAGGCTCCATTCTGGGCAAGATTTCTGAGTTGCAAAACGGCACAGCCAGAAGAGTAGCTTGTTTGAAGAATGAAGCTTCGTTTGGAATGTTCAGGACCGGCAAAGAAGTGCAGGATTGCAAGAAGATCAGAGATTCGCTTCACGCTCAAATTTCTGCTGTGACTTCTCAAGCAAAAAAGGACTCAGTTGAGTGCAATGCCCTCACAAAGAAGTTGCAATCAGAGATTCAAAACTACAACGATTTAAACATCAAAGCTAAAAATTGCAAGGAATCTATTGAAACCAAAGATTTGGTTATCAAACAAATTCAATTGAACAATTCTGCTCTTTTTGAACAAAATCGTAATTTGACAGCCCTTGTCAAAGCGTGTCTGCAAGACAAAGATGAAACGAAAAAAAGGGAAATGGAGTCGTCCAGACTACTTTCGACCTGTAGATTAGACATGATTGCAAGTCAGCGAGATTGGAAAAATGCGCTGCAGCAAGTTGCACAACTAACGGAAGGTTTCACGTCTATGAAAGACAGTCAGCGAATGGCTACAGACCATCACCAATATGTGCGAACCTTTGACAAAAAGCTTTCATATTGTGGATTTCAAAAATTCAGTGAAGATGAACCTCCTCATTTCCCTGAAAGTTCGGAATGCTCCAAATCGAATGAAGGATTAAACAGCATGTTTATGGAGGTTCCTATGTCAGTTTGTGCTCAAGTTCCTACGAGAGATAACGCTGCCTTTGACGGATGCCTTCCCGGGCATGTTCCAATCATTTACAACGACAATCGATTCTTCTCGAGGTATATAATTCCAAACCATGAGTTTCTGGGAATCTGACATTTATGCATCAGTTCTACAGAAAATTGTGTCACATCGAAAGAATGGAATGACTGCATGGCGAGGTTAGCGGATTGATCGACAGGAAGTTGAATCCTCAGCTTTTCTCAGGTCGGAAGATCAACGATATTGGAAGCAGCCGCTAGCGTGTTGGGAGATGCTCTTTTCAAACCGTACATCGAAGACTCAAGGTCATTTTGTTGTGCCAAGACTCTTGCAATAACGATTTGACAGGCAAAAGGATTTGCTCTGCACAAGCCAGCAGAGAGCGAGTTTGGGTGAAAGTCAAGTCTTCACATGTCAATATGTCGACACCCAGCTTCAAGTCGCCTTCGAGCCTCTTGTTGGTACAGAGCAGGGAGCGTATCCCAGACATTCAGTTTGAACGAGACCATTTCGACGAATTCTGGGACATGGGCGATGAGGTGTTGAAGGCTTTACAGATGCGAAGGAGAGAAAACTTTGTGCCCTTGACGTCGGAGCGAAGAAGACATGTGAATATTCCTTGCCCGCCCGACTTTGATTGTGAGCTTTGGGAGCGCCACAGCATCGTGACTGTCACAGCTACCGACCTATTTGGCAAGCATCACGTTCTGTATCAATGGACTTTCATCGAGGAACCACACTCCACCTTCACCAGAATGCGCAGAAAGGAAAAGAAAGAAAAATCAAAGCGCCGTCGTCACGGTTTCGATAAATATGACTTTGGTCGTCTGACAAGCTTGAAATTGTCTCTACTTCCAGAATTATCAGGCAGAACTGAATGAAATATTGAATTTTATTGCTATGTATTTCCTTTGCATTCTTTGAAATCAATACACGAATAGAACTTGTTCATCATCGCTCATCGAGATCAATGAAAGGGGAAGATTCCGAATCACTCTCACTATCAGTGTCTGCAAGGTCGGCCCAAGTCATGTTGCACGGAGCCGTTTCTTCTTCTTCTGTGCTCGTGGATGTGTCCGGAAAGAAATCTTCGGATGCATCAAGATCAATCATATCTGCATACTTCGCCTGCTTTGCAACAGTTGAGTTTACCAGAGGCATTCCAGGGAGACATTGGTGGTACTTGACAGGATCCATGCGGTCGAGCAAGGCAGAACCGCGAGGTATGCGGCGGAGATACTCTGTCTTGTACTTCCTTCTAGTTTCGAGATTCCAACCAGCCTTGGTTGCAATGAGTGCCTCGTGCTCTGTGAGATTTACCCTTTCCTTTTCAATGTACGAGAAAGTTTCATTGAACATGTCGAAAATTCCTTCGCAACCTCTGAGGAAGTCATGCAATTTGAAGTGCGAGAACATAGCAGCCCAATCGGCAGGAGTACGACCGGACGCATCAGCGGCATGCATTCGCGCGCCTCCTTCAATCAATGCCTTGCACACTTCTTGGTCTCCAGTCTTTGCAGCTTGATGCAAAGCTGTAGCGCCGGGAAAGGATGAGTTGTGCCCTTGTGCAAGGTTGACGTCGGCCTTCCCTGTAATGACAAGCAGGTCTACCATGAGCCTACTGCGATAGGCAGCAGCGAGCATGAGGGGGGAGAAGCCTCTCTTGTCCCTCCTGTTCACGTCAACTCCTGCAGACAAAAGCATTGAAACAATCCCTGGCTGAAAGTGAGCAACTGCATAGTGCAAAGCCGTGAATCCGGCCCAGTCACTTCTGTCCAGATCTGCTCCCTTGTTCACAGCGTCAAGAAATATTTCCTTGTCACCATTTTGGCAAGCAAGGAAAAATCTCTGCTGCAGACTGTCGCGATCCATCAATTCCTCTTTCCAAGTATCGTCCACCTTCACGAGGAGCTTTGGTGACGGCACATTCACTTCCCTCCTTTCTCGATGCTCGCGTCTGAGCCTGTCCAAGCAGCACAAGATTTGCGTCTTGTTAGAGTGGAGAAAGTCGACACCGAACGAATTCAGAAGCCAAACATTCAAAGCGCTTGTCATGTTCCATACAAGTTCTCTCCTTTCTTCGTTCAAAGAGTTCAAAATGTCCAATCCTTCACCCCCCCGCAGATGAATGTTGGGGCTCACACGGAAGAGTGTCGTGCATCTGAACACAAATTGTTTTAGTCCGATGGATGATTTCACATGCCACTCAGAGCTATCTCTGAAGTCTGTCAAGCCCTCCCTCCAAGGACCGCTTCTGGTTTTCATCGGCAGATGTTCTCGGATCTTGGTGGCTACTGGTCTTTCCCCACTGTCCACGACATCCCCTTTCATCATCGCTATCACCAAAGCCAAAGTGAGTCGCCTTACCATCCTCGTCCTCCCCCTCCTTCTCATCGCCGCTGTCGTCGGTAGTCCCTGTGCATTATGCTCACTCACTACTACTGGAACCAAGCATCCTCCACCACCCTGAGTGGCATGGTACCCCCTAAAAGCCCTAGGTGAGAAGGGGTGAGTGATAAATATAGAGGTGGAGCGAGGATGGCGGAGTGGAGGAAAGCAACAGCGATGATGGTGCTTGCAGCGATGATAGTGAAGAGCGCAGCTGCATCAGCGATGATAGTGAAGAGCGCCTCTGCATCAGCGAGGATTTCAACTACACAAATTGCTGTAGATCGTCTTCGAGGAGGGGGGTTTTCAGTCATGGAGAACATTTTGAGAAACCACACTGACATATACAACCCAGCAGCGTTCCAAGAATTGAAGGGCAAGCAAGTGTGTGTTTTGGTAGAAAGTGGGTTGGAACTCAGAGGCATTTTGAATGACTTCGATGAATCGATGAATGTAGTTTTGCAAAGACCTGTACAAAGATGGGACGGTAAAACTAATACCCTGGTGCGAACAGAAGAAGGGAACTTGGTGATTCGAGGCAGTACAGTAATGCATATCGGCTTAGTCTAGATCAGATTCTTTCTCTCGTCTCTTTGACGAGATGTCTGATGAATTCTCTAATGTCTAAACAATTTAGGGTGGGATCATAAAATTCTTAACCAGCAGGATTGTACGCCTTATCATCTCCACGACCTTCGGCAGCAAAGTAGATTGTGCTGGGATCAGCCAAGCGTTGAAGGTGAAATCTATGAAGATTGTTATCGCTGGCAAACAGCAAGTTGCTCTCCTTACGGCCACATCAACCACCACAGCAGCCCAGGGAACACTCGACCGACTTCACTCCACGTCAGTCCAACAAAACCAGATCTAATAAAGCGTCAAAGAGCAAGGACGGATACAGGTGTCTCCCACGCGAAGAGAAGAAAGAATGCTTCTGAGTCCTTGCTCGCTAGGCTCCATGCACGCTGACCACAGAGCACGAGTCACTCCCACAGGAGATTACAGTCCAAGGCCAACACCTCACGGGGCTTCAGCCTCTGCAGCAGACCATGAATGAGGTGATTTGCGATGCCCTGCCAAGAAGAATCATAAAGAAGAGGAGGATGATGAGGAAGTTGACGACCATTCTGTGATACTCTGGCTTCACAAACAGATTCTTGATCTGTAGATCATCTTTGATGTAAAAGTATCCACCAAGCTGAATGCGTGTCAACTGAGCACAGCCAACCACTTCTCCCGTATTTGTGTCTTCTGCCACCAGGTAGCTTCGCCAGCCCTGACAAGATCGTCAAATACCATTAAGCTCTGTCTCGTCCACCTGCTCCAAGAAGTACATCTTGAATTCATCAATCTTTCCGTACCCTCCCATTTCACTGCACAACTAAAAGTATTGATTCAATTTACTCACACCATCGCTTTCTGAGAAACCTGAAAGATATTCCTCATATCCAAATTGTTTAGATCACTGTTCCTCATCATAGCCCCAATTTTGGAAAGTGGCACTTCGGCTGGAAGAGACACGTTCAGCCAGCAGATTGCACTCCATGATCTCATTACAGAACTTGTTTGCGGGACGTATGATGATGTTGGGCGGAAGCTGTTTCAGTGGCATCAGTCGCCCTGGATCTCGTCGTTGAACCTCGGCTGCGTACTGCACCCACTGTCCGTTGCATTGCAGGTTGACGCTTCGAGGCAACAGCCGGGACATGGACGAGGACATGGACACACAAGAAGAGGAGGAAGAGAGGAGGGGAGAAGATAGGAGGAACCCCATTGCCGCGGGAAGCTGCACAAGTAGCAGCACAATCAACCTCCACCGCGCCATGATCCTGCAGGTGAGGGAGAAAAGGATGAGAGCGGATCCGCCTCATTTTTAATTTTATTGTTTTCTGAAAGACAGCAAATAATCATTATGAAAATGTGTGTTCTGCCTTGGATTGCATTCCTACCTCTGTCCCGCCAACATGGATGAGGACGCGATTCTCACGGCGGACATGGCGGTTCTGATGCAGGTGAGCCTTTCCTTGCTCGTCTCCTGCTACCTCTTCTTCGAACTCCTGATGCCTCTTGCTGGTGGCCGTTTGATCGACCTGCAGGTCGCCACTCCCATGCTGCAGGCAGAAGACTCGCGGCTGGTGAGAACCTGGCTGCCTTCATGTCATTGTAACCCTTTCCCAAGGCCACCGCGGCACTCCTCGTGCGAAGATTGCAAACCAATGCAGAAGAGTATATCAACCAATGGTGTGTGAGCGTGTAGTAATGATGATCGTAAGGGAACAAGAATTCAAAAAGATCCTTCGGCTTCTTGCCACAACGTGCAGTTCGGACCAGTTCTTGCTTGATATGATGCTTGAGGTTTGAATGCGTTTCGTGTTTTTATTGTCCTCACAAAACCATATGCCAAAGTTGCTCATGACTGTAGAACACAAAGTTCCAGTCATCAATAGGTGATGTCGATTCGTGTAGAGTTTTCTGTCCTGACAAAATGGAAAGTATTGCACTCGCTGCTGCAGGGAGCTCAGCCGAGCAGGTGAGCGATTAAAAAGCGATTGAAGAGACCTCTTATGCTGTCGAAGTTGTCGCCGGTCCTCGATACGTACAGAGACCTTTTGAACTCGGATCGCGATCTCCTTGTTCCCATCATCGGCTCCATTTCTGAGGTGAGTCAGGAATGCGTTATCAAAAGGCTGACATGTGACGAAGCTCGACCTGAGCATAAGTCAGAGAGAAAGCTTCTTGGAACTGATATCAGGTGCGGAATCTTCTGCTTCGAGAGCAGTCGCCTAACTTGTCTCAGGATCTTTGAAAGTTGTCAAGGATCAAGACGTGCCCGTTGTTGTGAACGTGACGATCGAATTCTGTTGGAGTATTATGATAAGCTCATATCTGCGTCATAGGCAATGCTCCAAATTACAACACAAAGCAATGCTTGTCACATTGTAAGCCTTACTGACATATCTTACATGATTTCTCTTAAGAGATCTGAATTCGCTAAAGGTTCATTCCATCCGCGAAGGCTGCAAGAATGTTCCAGTTGAAATCTCTTACATTCTACATGGATCTATAGTCTCTTCCATTCGTACACGCCCATTCTTTGCAAAGGTTCCGAGCTTGTGAAGCTTGACGATCTAACTCTCAGTAGGCTTTCTTTGCGGGCTTGAAGGACATCAGAGGGGGCAATCATCTATCCACACTGGACCTCTTCGTCTTGATCGCTCTATTTCGAGGTCTCTTGAACTCTCTGTACGGGTCAAGAATGATTCATGTTGATGTCAAAGTTGCAAACAAGAGACTTGCAGCCAAAGAAGCCTTCCGCTCTGCCTTCCTCCGATCTTTCTTGGATCGCAATCAAGATCAGTGTGATGGAATCTTGGAAAGTTTGAAGCAAGCAGGTACGAATCTTGTATGAAATCTCTGTTTATCTTTTACACCAAGTAGTTGCACATAGTAGTGCCAATGAGACGATCATGGAGACCTTGTATGCCCTTTTGCGACAACCTGTAACCTCCCAGGTGAACCCAAGCTGTTACTTCATGCAACTTGACCGTTAGCATCAAGGATCGAAGTGGCCATTCAAAAAGAGTGATTCAAATGAAAATGTTCTCGCCCATTTGGCAAGTGTCGAAGGTTCCAAGCGTCGTGCGCTCTCTACCTCTTTCATGATGTCGTCTTTCAGATTATTCTTACTCAACGCCCGCAATTGCGCAAGCACGTCTGCACTGCTCTCTTTGCGGCTTGCACCACCCCTCACTTGTAAGCTCCATCTTGTGTAACAAGATGTTCATTCTATTCGCTCCTTATCTATCCGTCAACGCAGCCTTGTTCCTACAAACCCTCTTGAAAACGACTCGAATGAGGGAAATAGAGGTCACAGAAATTTCCCACCTGATTCATTTCCATCATGATGTGCAAGTTTTATAGATATTACAAGTGCAAGGATTGCAGCTCGCACGTTTATGAAGCTTTGTTTGCAATATCCGAGAGAGGAAGGAGACGTTGCTCGTTTCTTGAGATGACATTTTTCGATTGCACAGATGGACGAGTGCAATGATCTCTCAGTTCAATTTGTATCGCAGGTACAATTTTGTGATGACTTTGTCTTCGCTTGAGAACAACGACAGAACGTTTCGAGGTGTGATCGTTTCGTACTTCATTGCGTCCTCGCGGGGATGGGCAACACAACCACATGGTGATAGCCTGTCTGTGAATGCTGGCATGACGAGAAGATCAGCAGCACCCACGTCACATCAACCTTGCAAGAAGGAAATGCAGAGAGCAACGAGCAAGAGGCACGTGGATCCGCTGTTTCATCTGCCATGCTCTTAGTCCAAAAGCTATTCGCTCGGTCATGCCCCTCGTCTCTTTCCGCGGCTTTGGTAGCATCCCTGAATCATTTTCAAGTTCTGATTCTGCCCTTTGAAGATTCTTGCGAGTTTTCTGATATCCAACGACAAAATTGCAGAAACTGTCAGTTGTTTGGAATTGTTTCATATTTGATCATGACTTACAGGAGTTGGAGGTGTTGGGTAGATGTGCGAAGCGTCTACAATTTCATCCACTGTAAGGACTGACTCGGAAGGCTGAATCTTCGTAGTTGAGAGCGGGGGAGAGGTGGAGCTGGGTGGAGAAAGGCAGAGAAAGGAGTGTGTTATAGATCAATCGTTTGACCCAGACTAGGTGGATCGGTTCTGCTGATCTCTACAAAGTTTGTGTGCTAATGGCCATCAAGGTTGGCTAAAGTGAGATGTTTTCTTATGACCTGCTGTCAGAGCCCTTCCCTAATGGAGAGCCTTTCTTTCCATAGTCTTCTTTACCACACAACTACAGCCTCAGGCGGAGTTCTAAGTGGATTGCATGGATGGTGCTGACATGCCTCCTCAACAAAGGGCTGTTGAGTTGCCAGGGAGAGGAGCTCGACGACTCGACTGTTGTTTGCTTGCATACCTGTGTTTGCAAGGTGAAAACTGCTTCTTTCTGATTGAGCTGACCATTGAAATTCAAGACGATTGACAAGTTTGAGAGAGAAACTTGCTCGATCGATGTGATCACTTCTTATGAGGTTAAAGTTACGATTGTTGACATGCTTTGGCAGTTGGAATCAGGATTCTCCAACGTGGCATACAATCTTTATCTACGCGACATACTGAGCATTCGATTTAGATTGTTGCTCTATTCTTCAGCGCGTTGCATGTCTGGCAATACTCGTCCGGTAGGCTTGCAGGTCTCGATGATGTTTGATGATGTCACTTGCAAGGGCTGACAAGGAAAGACATCGCGATCAAGACGTGCGGATGGAAGGTGCATATCAATGTTTCTGATGCGATTGGATGAACGGGAAAGAAAGGTCGAGATGCCGGCAGACCTGCATGAACTGTACGAGAGCAACGATGACATGGAGGAGCTTTCATCGCGCTTGAAGGATGCGATCAGAATAGGTCACCCCTCTCGCGCGATCTCCTTGCTGGTAACTTTCGCTCGTTGACCCTCCCGTGGTGCTGCAGGTTGGAGCTGTTGGTTGAATGCTGCAACAGCGCTCAAGATTGCGTGCGCATACTTTCACGAGTATCATCACTGCCAGTAGAGCACCAAAAATGCTTGTCTGCTCAACTGACAGTCTCAGGTCAAGCCTCCAAGACAAGATGGACATGGCGTGCTTGATCGGACGAATGATGCAGGTGAGGGCGAAGAGGAGTGAAGTGCGAAATGATTTCACTCAAGGGAATGAACTGCTGGCATCATCTCACCAGTCACATAATTCCCTTTCTCTCTCGTGATATCCCATGCTTCCGCCTTCAACTCTTCTAAATGTTTTCACAGAGTGCAGAAAACAAGGTTTTGAAGGCAGCAAGAAGGTCTTGGCTCCTTTCAAGCATTTCCAATGACTCGTTTGTTATTTCAAATGCGTAGGGCTCCAAGGGTTTCAAGTTTTCTTCTACATCTCTTCGCCACGAAATCGTGTCCCTTGAGAAGACAAGTGAGATGTGATGAAGGAGTTGCGGGACGTGAAAGCCTTTGCAGGACTTCCAATCTCTCCGGATTGCGCTTTCAGCATCTTCCCGAAGATTCTTGTCATGTTGCAGACGGATGATGAGCAATTAGTTGCCATGCTGCAGGTGGTCACCGGCTGGGGATGCCTAGACTGAATGCGAGCAGATGATGCGGGAGTGGAACGTTACGCTGAGGGACGAGCTGAGAACGCGAGGATTCTTCTCTTGCAGTCATGACGATGACGTCACCGTTGCCGCTCGCCTGTGTGCACGTGAAGCTGATGATAGCTTGACCCGCATTCTTTACAGCAAAGGTAACCAATGACATGGAAGGCAGATAAGAGGAGAAACAAGGAGAGAAGGAAAGAAGGAGAAAGCAGAGAGGAAAGAGAGAGAAGCGAGGGGGTTGAGGACGAGTCTCCTTCGACTTCATTCACTCGTTGAATCTCAGATGATAATGATAACGACGATTTCCCGTATAAGGTCGCGACTTGTTGCAGCACTGGATTTGTCAGTTGGTTGCCTGTGCAGGTGAGGTGATGTTAGTGACTGCAAGGAATACAAGGGGAAAGTGAGGAGAGGAGTGAGTTTGGAAGTGGATAAGTGAAACGGGGACAAGGGGGCAAGGAAGAGGAAGGAAAGTTGAAAGATTTTGCAGCTTATTAATTGTTTGGATCAACTTCGGAGTCATCGAGTACAAAATACCAAGAACAACAAAGTGAGACTTGATCACTGTTTTGATGAATGCAATCGACAAAAGTGACCTTGCTGACTGCTACTGACCATAGTAAGCAGGGCAATCTCATATCTGATTACATGGATCTCATCTCCGAGCTGTATGAAGGTATGCCGGGCTCCTGCTCGTTGATGCTCTGATTGAAGAGTAGCAATCTGCATGTTTCTTGAGTTGGCCATCAAAGGCGAGCAGCTTGCAAACGTTGAAAAGAGTTTCTTTGTTGGAATGGTGAGGACAGGTCTGATGAGAAGCGTTCTGAGCATGTCTGCAGCGAACTGCCGCACGTGATGAATTTGATGACGGTGATGCCCTGCTGCTCCTTGTAAGGAGCCTAACAGCCGTCAGATGTCCGTTGGGAGAGAATATATGAATTCTTCAAGAAGCTCACGGACCGGTGAGCGGAGTGAAAAGAAGAAATGGGGAGGACGAACGAGAGGGAAACAAGTAGAGCAGAGAAACGAGAAGAGGAGGGAGCGGTAAAAACGACAAGAGAGATGGAGAAAGAGTTGTGGGGACAGAGAGAGTATCCTCTGAGATGGATACGTCAGAGTGGAAGATAGCGGACTTGCCAGCCTACATCTCTCACTCCTCCTGCGCCTCTTGAAGATTTGTAAGCAAACAAAAAGAGAATGTCACCTTCTAATTGCTCGCAGGTGGCAAATCAGAAGCTCAAATCTCAGATGTTGCACTTCAACTTGCGAAGTCAATTTTCTCATCTCATCACAAGCTAAATTGTCAATCGTTTCTTTATCCTCCTCCCCTCGTGAGAATTTTCACTCTGTTGCATTCCAGTCTCTGATGATGCACTGTAAGATTTTAGCCGAACATGCCAAAGGCGGGAAGTTGGTTTCTTCCATTCCCTACATGTTCTTTCTTGAAACAGGTTGACACCCGTTTATGATGACAGATCCATTGACATGGTGATCGCAGCGCTAGTCTCAACTTCATTCGATTCAGCCTTGCAATGCATCCGAGAGCTGTTAGCTGCTCTCAGGGACGACCGTCCAGGTGTGTCTGAGCGACTTGTGATAGTATTCATACGTGCGCAGAAACATTTCAATCCATTCCTGAGTTCACTGAGGCGCTTCTCCTGCCTGTTCTGGGATTTCTTTCGCTTCCTCTGTCAGAAATCCCAGATGGAACGAAGATGTTTGGAAAAGTAAGTCCAACAGGCAAATCCAAATAATGAAATAGGAGGGAGGAGGTAGAGGACGTGTTGAATTGAATGCGGTGATGGGGGAGGAATGGAGTGAAAGAGAAGGAGGAGGCAGGATTGAAATGAGATCTGATTCAATCGTAGGATGTTGCTTACATATGGGTAATCGCTATCACTAAGTGCTTTATCACCTTTCGTGAATTGATCAAGTCGACATCTTCCGTCATCGTCGCCGTTAAGCTGCAGGTTCGCAGACTGATGGGAACCTCAGCATTGCTGAGAGAGTAGCAGATCGTGAAGGTAGTGATGCGCATCTTCGTGGCGTTGAGGAGGAAGTTGAGCAAGTTCTTGAATTTCGTGTCTATGGGAGTCGAATCACCGGAGAAGCGAGGACAAGCGTTGAGGTTTTCCTCCTTCTCGTCTGCTCCTTCTCTGACTTCTCGCAGCTGTTTCTTCCACGCGTCTCTCGAGCTTGTCAAGCTTCATGCTACTTGGAGTCTCAGCGTGCCCGAGGGCTATCGCGTGTCTGGTAGGCTCGCCTCGTCGCCTCCTGTTGCTCACATCCTGCTTGTCACCTCTCGTAGGCGTCTGGCCTCGCAGCCGCATGGAAGGGAAACTGCTGCAGTGCGCAGTGGAGGAGGTGGCGGAGGTTTATCAGATCGACCTAGGGGAGGCACATGGGACGGAACCGAAAGAAGACGGGGAGCTTGGTAGGCTTACCATACTCGGGTTGGTGTACCAGGGGTGCAGGAGTTTGGAGATCATACAAGACGGTAAGAAACCGGATGTGGCCAGAAACTAGAAAGGGCAGGCAGGCAGGCAGGCAGGCAGGCAGGCAGGCAGGCAGGCAGGCAGGCAGGCAGGCAGGCAGGCAGGCAGGCAGGCAGGCAGGCAGATACCCGAGGAAGGAAGGAGGGGGGCGGGCGGGCAGGAGGGAGGGGAGAGAAGGGAAGGGAAGGAGACCAAGGGCATGAGAGGCTGAGCTGCCAAAGGAACGAGCGAAAGTTGACGTTCTACTTCAGACACAAACAATCAGCTCTACACCACAAGCTCTGAGAGCAGTGCGGACAGTGACGCGAAGCCAGTGGAGGAGGAAGGCTTCATCATGGTTCGAAAGCGTCGCAGGACGGAGGAGGAGGAGGAGGAGGAGGATATGTAAGTTTTAGGAAGGAGTAAAAGTTTTGAAAGCGTCTCCAAGTGTCTCTTGTTGGAAACATAGCAGACTGCCTGAGCCATCGAGAGGCTCCTGCTAAACTTAACTGAGAAAAAGTTCTTCCATGTTTAGTTCAGTGCAAGGTTTAGTTTGCGAAAGTTTTTAGTCTTCTTTTACCTCCAGCCCCCTCCATGATGGCCCCTGCGGATCCGCCATGAGAGAAGATCCGCATCCTCCTCGCCCCTCCTCCGCTTCCTCCCGCCCCTGCTCTTTAGAGCATCCGCCTTCCCTGTTCCCTCAGCATCCCTCTCCTGCCATCATCTCCTCGCTCTCATCTGGAACCTCCCCTTCCTGATTCCTAAAACTTCTCCCACCCTTTTGGTCGATTGCTCCTGTTGCGTCCGAAGCATCGCTGAACCCTCTTCCCCCTTTCCACCTTCTCCTCCCCATCTTCGGTAGATTTTGCATATTCTTTGATGAAGGGAAACCTATCTTTGTATTGGTGCCTTTTTCTTGTGTATTAGTTTCTTTGGACAACGTCAAATGTCCAGCAAACTTCTTCTGCGCCAATACATTCTCTTTGTGCTTCTAGTCTCGTCAACGTCCTTTGTCGATGTTTTCAGTCCTATTCATTTTAATTCCGTCTCGCACGTTTCTCTCTCATCGTTGAGAGCGAACCGGCTTCCTCGCTGTGAAGCCTCGCCGCGATGCACCAGGAGCAAGGGTGCCAAGATGCTATATCCAAGTAACAGCTACCAGGAAGCTGCCGCAGCAGGAGCAGATGACGGCCAAGGGTTTTACATCTGTTGGAGAATCTCAAGGAGGGTCATCCAGGTGCTGTCCCTCCTCCCTCACTTCGACTCTTCTCATAATTCGCAGGAATCTCAGCTGGCACTGAACTCGCCGAATGTCCGGCAGAAGATCTGCAGCGGGGGCGTCTATCCGCGTTTGACGCTCGAGGATTTTCAACGAGTGGCAAACGAGGTGAATCAAACTGTCGCCGTCATGATACCCCTGGCGCTGAACCTCTCGACTGTCGAGTACAAGAAAGCAGCAGAGAGTTGGAATGTGTTCCTGGTGATGCGCGAAGAAAGCTGGACTCCAGAGTTCCAAAGAGGAATTCAAGAGGTTGCCATGGCCACCAAGAATGCGCTGTCAAATATTGCTGGGATCATCGTTGAGCGCGACGTTTGTGCGCCGATGCTGCTCGTTCGAAGGTTTCAGAACGAGTCAGCGGCTCTCACCTACGCCAAGACGATGGGAAACAGGCTGAAACCGCTCGAGCTCAAGCTTGACAGCTGCTCAATCACATTGGAGGCAGTGGATGAAGATGGCGTTGTAGTGAGAGCTCCGTTGATGGAGGCAGACTTGTCAGATGTGCCGAAGGAGAATCGCCAGGCTCGTCGTCCCCACAAATTCCTCCAAATGTGCGAGTTTTACCTGTCAAACCTCCGTGGCAGAGGCGAGAGTGCACGATCACTAAAGAAGATTCGAAATGCTTATGACAAGTGGGAGAAAGGCCTTCAACAAAGGATTGAAACTCTCCTCAACTTGTATGCTCAGCGTGTTAATCCCCCGGTATCGAATTTCCCGAGCCTTGAATCGCAAGTAATGAAAGAGGATGTGATTGATTTAGAGATTCCTCTTTCATCCGACGAGGATGAGGAAATGGGCGAACTGGTACAAACAGGCGATGATGATGGGATTTTACCGCCAAACTCCATGCAGTTTGATGTCGAAAGTGATGAAATGAGTGCGCAGGACACCTTGGAAGACAAACCATTAGCAGAGAGAGACAAGTACATGGAGCTGACTAAGAAAATTCTTGATGATCTTGAAAGCTCGGGGATAGAAAATCGGCTAAACTTCAATCAGTATCGTCGAGCACCGCCTCAGGTACTTGACAAGCCTTTTGTGCTTTTTGGTCATGCTGTATAAAATGACATCACTTTCGCGCGCAGGAAAAGAGAGAGTCCTCCAAGAACAACTCCCGTAGCTTTGGAATGAACAGAAGACCAGACGGACAAGTTTCTGATATTGCTCGCGGGGCATTCAGACTTCGCCGCAACTTCAACGTCAACTTCTCGCCTTCCAAAGAGTCTGCGCAGCAACGGACGAAGTCGAACAAATCTGCTGACGGTAGCAGCAAACAGGCCACAGGCCCGACAACCCAAATCCTTCTCGTTCGGCATGGACAGTCGACCTGGAACGCGGAGGGAAGGTGGCAGGGTCAAGCAGACATGTCGCTCTCCAGCCTCGGCGTTGCTCAGTCAGTCCAGGCGGCTTTGAGGTGGCAGCGCACCTGGAGGAAAGGGGAGATGTGCTGATCATGCTTGCTGTCAGGCTGTCAGGAGGACCGCAGGTGTTGGCTGAGGGAGGCGGCATTCCTGACATCGGCGCAAGTGACGGTGAATGCTGAAAAAATGAAGAGCCTCACTGATTTGCAGTTTATTCCTCCAACATGAAGCGAGCAAAGCAGACAGCTCAAATCCTCTCCTCACAAGCTGGACTAGGAAAGGTGATGCGCCCCTCGAATTTCATCTTCTAGCTTGTATTGATTTTTGACTCTTCTCACATCAGATCATGGAAGATGAAAGATTCAGGGAGCGAAGCGTTGGAGAATGGTCAGGTAAAGCAGAAGAATGATACTGTGACGACGAGAAATCGACGTGGGCGCAGGTTTGACATATGAAGAGGTTCAGCAGAAGTGGCCAGGTGATCGTCTTTTTCCTCTTTGATACATTCTTTTCTCCATTTCTGAAATGACTCGACTTGCCTCACGCGCTTGCGATCACAGGATATCTCAAGCGAAGATTGTTGCCCCCTTCGTATGAGACCGATGACATGGTAGTGTCTGTGGCGTCCTGCTCCCACCTCTGACCTCACCTTCAGGTGCTCCCCCGCGTTTTCTCAGCGCTAGATTATGTTCGAATGCAGGTGCGTAAGAGAGCAGGAGGATTGGATCAGCTGGGTAAGGTTGCTTGTGCAGCATCCCGGACAGCGAGTGGTCGTCGTTTGCCATGCCGGCGTCATCTATGCGGTGACCTGCGCGTCTATGCGTGCAGGCCTCCAGTGAGCTGAGGTGCAGGTGGAGGCTTATCTCAAGGCCAAGTCAGGCTACCGCAACCCTCAGCGGTAGAGCAGCCGATTCTTGTGTGGCTTTCTCTGACATCAGCGGCAGGAGGTACCGCATAGGCAACCTCGGCTCTCGCTGGGTGATCTGGGATGGCAGCGGCTTTCGTCTCGGTCGCCGCGTGAGTTCATTACGTCGCTTCAGTTCTCTTGTTCCTGTGTCTGCTGAGCGATTATGTTTCCAGGTCAACCTCATCGCTGACGGAGGCGTTTCCTCGGCTCTTCCTGAACTCTACCAGGAATGATTCTGATTGTAAACTAGGACATGAACACATATTGAGCAAACTGTCAAAAGCGTGACTGTATCAGTTCCACACCCCCTTGGCTCAGCTGATTCCTCCCCATCCCCTCTGCTCTCCCCTCCCTCCCATCTCAAGCATCCGTCAAGTTTTGCGGTCGGGGAGCAGGATCACTGGGGAACAATTGTCCTACGTTTTTTTATTTGAGTCTTATCTTGATATTCCCCACACCGAAACCCTCGTACAAATACTCCCCAAGTACCCTTCCCCTTGCACTCTATCCCCCGCATTAGCGATCAAGTCTGAACAGCAGAGCAAGCCCGCGGCAGATGGCGAGATAGGCTATGTATTCCCTAGAGAGATTGGGAGATGATGTTACGAAGAGACTGTTTGCAGGTGTCTCTTGTTCTGTCATCTTGCTGGGAGTTTCGTGGTTATTGAGCAACGCTTGCAAGATCTAACACTGCCAAAAAAGCTATCAGCCCCCTTCCATTGCATCTGTCGCATCTGATCGGATTTACATGACTTTTGTCTTTGCAGGCTTTTTTTATTCAAGTCACGCCATAACAAGATAAGAGATCATGACCCGAACCAAGGTTACAAGCAAGACAGCCAAACTTCCAATCGCTCAGACGCTCAAACGGAGTTGCTTGAAAATTCCGGAGAATGTCTTGGAGTGGTTTGCAACAGGTCGATTCCAGATGATGGAGAGTGTGGAGCGTAGAGCACAGGGGGGCATCAATGAGAAGTCTATGATGGAAGCGAAGCAGAGACTAGCAAACTTAGCTCACGGGCAGGACACCAAGGGGATCAAATTCTCCGGAGAAGCGCTGCATCATCTCTACTACAGCACCAAGTTTGAGCGACGGGGACTCTTGTTGTACTCGATTGTGGGAAATATTCTCAATCCAAACTCGTCGGTCGTGCCTGATCTTCGGTCGGCTCTACAGAAATCCTTGACCAAAAGCATGTCGTCAAAACCTCTTCTGCGAGTCGCTTCCATCGGCGGTGGACCAGGCAAGTTCGTGTTCTCGACTTGGAGATGCTTGCAAGCAGCGCGCAGTCTCTTGTGATTGCTCTCAATTTATCTTTGATTTTGAAAGGAACGGATGTCAGCGGACTATTCTGGGCAAATCGAAATTATCTTGGTTTTGGTATCGATGCAAAGAAGGATGCAACCGTTCAATGCGTTCTTTATGACAACGAAAGAAGCTGGCGGAGAAATCTTCCTACCCTACAGGTTGAAACCCCGTCGTTGGTGAAGTATTTGATGAGTTCAAACCCCTAGGAATTGATGGGTAACGATATCGCGCTTTCATTCGAACATTGTGATGCGACCGCTGGGAGGCATCATGATGCAAACAAGCGTCTCTTTCTTGCTGCAAACACTTATGACCTCTTCATCTTCTCATATGTCGCAAATGAAACTTCGGACAAGGCAAAGAAAACTGGTTTGCAGGAATCTGAATGATATTCACTATCACTGAATTGGAGAACAGGTTGGGAGTTTTACAGTTTTCTAGCGCAAAAAGCAAAGAAGGGAGCTGTCATGATATTTGCTGATGTGATGCAGCATTCTAGGGTTGTCTTGAATCAGATTGCTGAGACCATGAACGAATCGAGTCAAGCCGGAGGGAAAGCAGGCTCGAAACATGAATTCAACAGCTGGTGGTTGGAGCAATCAGAGTTTCCGGACCTCAAAGCTGAGGTATTAATCCTACATAAGCCTTGAAGTCATGACAGTAAAATGAAAAAGCTTGTAAGTTAGCCCGGGCCCGGTATCAGGTCGGAGTCCGGCCCGGCCGGGCCAGCGGCCGATCATCGGATAAGTTCACTCAAAGTCGGGGATCTTTTACTCATAGTCGGGGATAGTTTGCCTCAGGCCGTACGGTCACCGGGTAGCTCCGAGCACCAAAGCTGCGGCACTAGCCTTTACTCAAAGTTAAGTTAAAAAAGCATAGTTTGAAGAACTTCCGCAGGTTCGCAGGAGTGTGGGTGGAGCACGTCCCTGAGCAGACGGTAAGGAGACGAGAGGAGGAAGAAGATGCAAGACATCCCAGTGGCTACGGCTGTGGAGCCAACGACGACGACGACTATCAGGGTAAGGGGAGAGGATCTCGTCAAAGCCTTGTCATTTCTGAATGATCATATACTTGTTCCTCTGCCCAAGGAGCGGTCTGCCCAAGGAGCGGAAGTTCTGAACTGCAACACAGGTTGCATGCTACAACTGTCGAAATGTAGCTGATGCCCCCGGTCCCGTGTTTCGATGTCCCTTTTGTGGAGCTCTGAATGACATTCGCGGTGAATAAGTGAACATGTCCTCAAGACGAACTGATGTTATCCATTCAGGTGATTACGACGACGGAATGCCAGTTTGCATCCCAATCTGTATTCCTTGTGTTATTATGTAATTTGATATATTGTACATCTTTCTTTAACAACAAAAAAATCACATCATTTTTGTTCGGAAATAAATTTTTGTTTTTGCTTTCCTGAATTTCTTCTGTCCTGGCGTCAATCAAGGATCAAAAGTCATCGAACACTTCATCATCGACATCGGGAGCTTGATCGCCCGGTAGGTCATCAACGTCGTCATCCTGATATTGCTCAAAGTTGCTTGTATCTGCTGCGTGCCTTATTTTAGGCACAATCGGTGCTGGGATTTGCTTGCGCAGAATGTAATCCCAGGAAAGTCCCTTGAACCTGATGTCAAGTGAGCAAAAGCAAGTTCCAGACAGCCATCAGTTCACCATTTGTGTTTCTTGACGTCATCAGCGCCTCCTTTGAGGTTTCCAATGCGCTTTGTTCGATCTGACTGGAGCAGCTTACGGATGATGTCTTTTGCTTGAGGATCGAAGTGCTTCGGATAATCGACCTGCTCAGACTTACTTGGGACAGGGAGCAGGCAGGAGGAAACCTTCAACAGAAGAATCTTCTGATAGATTGCAAACGTGTTGTCAGCGTAAAAGGGTGGATATCCCGCCAACATCTCGAAGATGAGGATGCCGAATGTCCACCAGTCCACTGCCTTTCCATGCCCCTTGCTCTTGATCACCTCAGGCGCCAAGTACTCAGGGGTCCCGCACAGGGTCCAGGTTCTATCGGTGATCTCCTTTGCCAGGCCTGACAACCAGCCGTCAAGGACAAGAATCATCGTCAGTCAGTGCCCAAATACCGAAGTCAGTCAGCTTGATGTATCCTTGTTCATCCAAGAGAAGGTTTTCCGGCTTGAGGTCACGATAGATGATGTTTTTGCTGTGCAAATATTCTAGAGCAAGCGCCTAAGCAACATTGAGTGAATGCAGTCATCGGACGGCAGCGATTACGATTTGTGAAGCGTAGAATCTTGCGGTTTCATTTGGAAACCTCGCACAGTTCCTCAAATGCCAGAAAAGCTCTCCTCCCAACGCCTGCACCTTTCGAGCTCAATAACATGAAGCTTAGGAGGTTGCTACACCCACAAGCTCAAGCACGAGGTACAGATTCTTCGAGTCATGAAATTTGCCATGTAGTTGGACGATGAACCTGCGCAATATCAGAGGTGATGATGCATCACGAGCAGGTGATGATGCAGCAAGAACAGGCTTACGGGTGTTGGATCTTCTGGAGAATCTCTTTCTCTGATTGAACATGCTCCCACTGCTTCAGACGTAGGACTTCTCCCTTGCTGAGGATCTTCATCGCATAGTAGAATCCCGTCACTGCATGTCTGCATAACTTGACTCTTCCAAAAGTTCCAGTTCCTATGGTTTCGTGCTGTACGAGCTCATCGAACTGAAGTTGTCTTTGCTGAATGTTTAAACATTCTTGCTTCGAATCGACGAGTGGAGGCAAGCTCTTCAATGTATGTTGTGCAATCATACAGCTTTCAGATGAGAGAGCGGAGAGGCTGCAGCAAGGAGGGAGCGCTCGGACGCTCGACAGGGGGGGCGAGGGGACTGGAAGCGGAACACAGCTCCATGCATAAAAATTCTCAGTCTGACCACCCGGAATTGGTCTGAGGAGGGGGTGGTAAAACACTCGTTTTATACAACCATGTTTATAGGGTGGGTTCTCGAGTGGAAATTTGAGGGTTATAAAATCAAGGGGTGGGTGAGGGTTAGGGCCTGCCGGAAGCGTTGGTCAAACGACCTTCGAGCACCAGGTGAATCTTCAAGACTAGAGTACTAGTGAGATGAGCTGTACTGTTGAATCAGAATCAAGAGCAATGGAGGTCTGCCTACCTCAGCAGTGACGCATGAAAGCCATGGCTTTCTTCTGTCAGGGATGTGGCCAAGATCTCAAGAACCATCGGCGATCTTGCGGATCGGGGATCAAGTTTTCCACATTTGAATGATCGCCACAGAGATGCTTGAGGCATGTTGCAGCAGCTCGTCGCACTGACCAGTTGGAGTCGCTTAGCAGAAGCTGGATCTGAGAGCTGAATGACGGAGAAGCAGAAAAGAGATATCTAGGACACCTTCCCTATCATATGCGAATCGCAGTGGTCTGCCAAATGTTCTATCGTCCTAACCTGTACATCGCACGATTGCTCAGCAAAAGCAGTTGGGCATGTCAATCATCTCACGGCGGATTCGCGAATTTCTGCTTCACCATGACCAAGGAGATCGCAGAGTACGTCGAGAGGGTCTCGCTGCCCTCGCGAGGAGACGACCTCGAGAGATTCGATCGCATATCGTTTGCAATGAACGTCGACATCATAGGCTGCCATCTCCATGATTTTCTGCACCACCCTCCTATCATCTTTCAGACAGATAACTCTTACTGCAGCCATTGCGCTTGTTCGCACTGATGCAATGTCGGAATCCATGCAATCGACAAGAAAATCTGAGGAACTTCAACTGAAAGCGATCTGGTCAACATTTCTTACTGATGCACTTGTTTTCTCCTCTCATCGTTGCGGAATGAACTACTTTACCCAATGTAATCAGATTTTGCTGCCTGCAAGATGGATCAAAACGCTTCTCAAGGCCATAAAGCCGAAAGGACCTGAACCCATGCTTCCCACTTTTGATGTACTCGATCAACACATCGATCACAGTTGTCGCTGCATCCTTCCTTGTTGCCCTAGTGGCTTTCTCTTCAGCCTCACTTGCTGCTAAATCATGTTCCATTCCGTCCTTTACATTTCTTGATAGCAACGTCAGACATTGTATTTAGCCGCAAAGATGATTACTTTTGTAACTCCTCCCATCTCCTTGCAACCCACTCGCCACGGCCGTAGAGCTATTTACGACATCCTCAAAATAATTTTGAAACAAAAATCCATGCATACCAGGTTGGTAAGTCCACGCTGTGTGGCAGATTTGACTCGCTTTGCATCCAATTCAAAGGACATCGTGACAGAATTCGGAGATCTCACGTTGGATTGGTCTTCAATGAGAGGCACGAGGATTCGGTGAGCATCGATATTCCCAATCTCAGCTGTTTCTGTGATCACTTCGATAGCTCGTACTCGCACCTGCACACTCATTCCACAAGGTTGTCTTCATCATCATTGCTAATACCTGCCACGCTATATCTCTCGTGCTGATTTCTAAAGTCTGCCATAAATATTTCCTTGATTCGTCTTGAGATCTCCACGGTTCATCTTGGTCTGACCACCAGTATTCCTGCATGTCCCATCGCTCGAAGAAAGAAGCCTTCCTGCGATGATCCTCGTCACGTGACGAGCAGCATAAAACTCCAAGAACAAACCGGATGTTCACTGCAAAAGCTTTCAACCTAAGGAATCAATCTCATTGCAGCTCATCTTCAAACAGTCGCTTCAAACATTTCAAGCGCCATGCCACGTACTGCCCAGCAAGGATCCGACGTCGCACATCTTTCCAGAACCTGGAGGAACGTATCGATACATAACGAACAAGGCTTCGAATCGCCATATTACCTTGAGCGAATGCTCATGCTCGTGGTCTGAAATGTTTCCCAACCCTCTGATCGCCTCCATTCGAACAAACTCACAAGCTTCATGGCACGTTTCTCTGAGTTTCCACGTCAGTCCTGTCGCACCGCAACAAATCTGAGGTCACCTATACTCAACTAATTCTGGAGGCACTGATTGCCTCGAAGAGCCTTCTTCTTGAAGTTTTGTAACAAATTCCTGTTCAGACTTCGTGAGCTGTGTTTGTGTCCATAATTGCTACCAAACGTCTTGTTGATTTTTCATACTTCTGAATCCAATGCGTATACAGTGGAATCTGATCTCAAATCGTTGATCAAAAAGTATTCAAACGAACACGAATACTAGATCTTGACTGATGTTTTCGTGTTCTGGGTTTGTAAAGGTCCGCTGATCCATGTAGATTGGTGATCCATGACACAGAATCCATGAAAAAGCTGTTGCAGGTCAGCGGAGAGCAAAACTATCTCTCAGGTCAATACCTGCAATAGCTTGATCATCATAGATCTTATCCTTTTTCACTCCAGGCATTCTATCAACACCCGAAGCCTTCGTCAACACATTACATTAGTTTTCGGATACACAAGCTTTCACTTCTCTGGGCTTTTCGGAGATCTTTGAGATTGCTTTGGTCTGATCATGGATACCTCAGGCTACATATCATCCCCCTCTTTCCTTACCAAATTCTTCCGAGTTGCGATGTCCAAAGACTTTTCCCGCAAGATCTTGGCAAGTCGCCTGATGTATACTGGTCAACGAATACTGGAACCGAAAACATGAAAGCAAGTACAGCACTGCTTGTCTATCTCCAACAATGCTCAACGATGGAGATTTTAGGAAGTCGTCGATAGTCTTTTCGTCTTGTTCAAGCACTTTTGAGACATATTGGTTTATCCTGTGGGGCCTGAATCATAACAATGATGGAAGAAGATGACCAGGATAACCTGATTTCTCGTTCCGAGCTCATCGATTCTTCGATTTGTAGACATATCATAAATGAAGGATTCTTCAAACATCCTTAGTCAGCAATTCTCATCAGATAATAGCTATACCGTGCAAAAGTAATGTATGTCTTCAATTGTAAAAACTATTTTGGTTTCCTCGTCCTCAGCTCCCTGTCTTTGCGTCACAAGACAGGTGCATTCTTGAGGTTATCTAACCTTGATGTGACTGAGGTGTCTTTTTATAGCATTCGTTTCCATCTCATTTATGTAAAGTCCAGATTTGTGCAGCAACTGTGAAAAAAATCTGAAGGAAGTCAAGCTACATGTAGCGAGAATAAGAACACTTCTGACTTGAATTGAAGAAATCCATTTTGTTGAATGTCAAGATCATGGAAGGTCGTTTGAATCGCATCTCGCAGGACTGAACGCAAGCCGTCAGATCTCTCGCTCTCATTGAAGACAAGAGAAAGTCGGGCCATTGGCAGATTGACACAACTCATGAAACAAAGACGAGAAGGGTGAGGCAGAAGCGAACATTTTCTACCTGCTGGTAGCGACGCCATAGCGCTACTACCGGCCCGATTATCTCCTCGGAATCAACTTTCATCCCTAGTTCTACAACCGGTTCCGAATTCCCCGGCCGGGCCCGGGGCCGTACACTGGCTAGTACTCTTTACTCAAAGGAGTACTAGTTAAACATGAGTCGGCCGGGCCTCTTTTTTAAAATCTCACCAGGAGGGGTCATACAGAGGGAAATAGGTGGGGTGATGGTACAAAAGGGTACCTATGAGTAACAGTGTTGAGTTTGTCAGGGACGTGGTTGCCATGGCAAGTTGTTGACAGGGGGAGTTGATCGAAACCAATTGCTTGCTCGTCCCCACTTGCTGCCGCTTTGCACGGCCTTCCTCTCTCCTCCTCTCTCTCCTCTCTCCTTCCCCCCCCTCTATTCCGATTGATCCTCCGGTTCTTCTGGGTTACCGCTGGGGCAGGATGAGTTTTCGAACGTTTGCTTCAGCTCGTCTGCTGGCTTCAAGCCTGCATTGCATCTTGTTCTTGGGTTTTCTTGAGATTTCTTCCGCTGTTCCGTCACTTCTCCAATGTGCTGAGCCCTTGGTTGACGGCGCGCAATTCAGTGGCCACGGAGCTGTAGTTACATCGATACAGGCGGTTATCAGCCTTACCAATGGAAAGTCACTCAGTTGCGGGTCCAATGTCCCTACCTCGACCACAGGACTTTCTATCAGTTTTTCCAATCCTGGCCGTCTTTGCATCGTCGAAATGGTCTCGAGCGCAGGCACAGGGACATGGGGGATTCAAGGAGGGGAATGTTCAATGACCAGGTCACTTAGCTGTGGCGGTGCTGTGACTCTTCCTTCCTCGGGGACCGTCACTTTGAGAGGCGCATGGTCCAACTCAAGGTCTGACTCTATCAAGAAGACTGCCGATTGTGTCTACACTATCGTGCCGGCCTCTTGCCCAGCCAACACGTACAAAGATTCGACAGGGTATGGCGAGAAATGATGTCGATTTGCTCAGGTTCCTGACTCACGTGTGTACCTGTAGGAACTGTGCGAAGTGTCCTGGAATTATGACGTCACCGGCTGGCAGTTCATCTGTGACGGATTGTGTATGCCCTTCAGGGTTCAATCAGACGGGAAGTACCTGTCTTCCTTGCCCAGCAGGGATGTACAAGGATAAGAGTGGTTCTGGATCTTGTTCCCAATGCCCAGCAGGGAAATTCACAACATTCATCGGAGCTAACTCTAGTTCCCTTTGTTCTTCTTGCTCGACTTGCTCATCTCAGGAGCTGGAAGTTAGCAAATGTGAGCCACGATTTTCGTACAGGAAACAATTATTAATTGATGTTTAAAGGTTCAGAGACTTCAGATGCAATTTGCCTGGCCGCAAAGTACCTTAAATATTTATTTTGTTTTATTTAAGTGACTTGGTATTCGCAGTTGTACAGCATGTAGCGCTGGATACTATAAAGATTGTAGCCAACAGAGTAATCTTGTGATGTACCGTGGTTTCACGATGACTAATGGATGAACAGAGTGCATGCAATGTTCGAATTGCAAGACCGGAGAATATCTTTCTGGTGAAAAATCATCATGGCTTGTTCTACAGTCCGAACTCAAGCAAATGGACAGGGTGTCAAGGGTCTAAACCAGGAACTTGCAGAGCTTGTCCTCAGGTGAAGTATAGAAAGCTGTTTTTGTCACTTAAAGCTTTCACAGAACTTTTTTGCATATCAGTCTACCTGCATGAATTGTTACTGTATATTGTTTTCTTTGTTTTTTGGGCGACTGATTTGAAGCAGCTTGCTTTGCTGGAATCAAGATTCCGGGGTGTGGGACATCGAACTCAACATGTCCATCAGAATTGTAAGCATTCCTTTCACATAGGTTGGACAGAAGATTTGACAATTGTGTAGTGGTACTACATCGAAGACTGCTGCTGCATCAACCTATGTTCCCGTAACAGTCAGATTGCCTGTTCCCGTGACTGAGATGAAAGGTATGACATGGAAATTCAGTTTATTATCTGATGCGTTTCGTCTTTTTCGCTTTTGAAGCCAAATTCCAACTTCCTTTTATTCAAGCAATCGCCGACGCATCGGAAGTCACCATCGAAATGGTATGTTGAGTCAGCTAAATCAGCTAATGTTCCCTCTTTCTGACTTTCATCCAGGTTAATATCACCAAGCTCATCGACAGCGCACAAGCCACCTCGACGAGCTCGTCCTCGTCCTCGTCCTCGTCCTCGTCCTCGTCAAGCCAGCAGAGTTCTTCATCTCAGACTTCGAGTTCCTCTGCCAGTTCGTCGTCCTCAAACTCAGGATCAGCATCCTCCTCTGGCTCAGGAGATGGTCATACTTCTGGCGGGTTTGTCGCGATTGTTTTGGCGAGACGTGCTCTAAAACTTTCTCCAGGGGTGCATATTTTGAAGGCGATCGAAGACTCTCATCTCCATCGTCTTCCTCCGACGTCACTGCGACTGTACGGATTTCCAGTGTTCTTATCCGGTGCTTAAATTATGGTCAGGTGTTCACAACTACGAAGCCATTGCAGACGACTGTACGTTCGAAAGTCTTGCAAATTGTGTTGAATTTGGTGGAAAGGTGGTAAAGAAGCTGACGGAGCGGCGGATCAATTTCAATCTACAGCAGCAGGTAATCCAGCAAGTGTTACCACAGGACATCACTGATCGAGCGTCAGGGATTACCAAGTGGATCACTCATAAGCGGAGGAGTACTTCTCAGTAGAACCCAGAATGATGGCGAACTTGAACTTAATCTGCTGGCAGGTGCTTCACCTTCACAGCTCCCATCAACGCATGTAAGCACATCTGTCTTTGTGACGACACTCTCTGATGATCGAAACTCATTTCCTTCTAGCTCTTCCATCGGATTTTGTTTTGTATTTCGACGGCAGTTTTTGCGATAAGGTTGTATGGGTAGAGAACGTGCATTGTCTTTCTTTGTTTTTCTCCAGAAATACTGGATTTTGGTTGTACATTCAATCGTCTAATTCAATGCGTTGTCACAATCTTCGCCCTCAAGCCCTTCAGAAGCCCGTGGGCAAGATCGGGGAGAGCGCACAGAAGGGAAGGGACTTTGAAGCTCTCTCTCCATCTAGAACGATCTGAGGGTTGAAGCATGGTCATGCGCTATCAGAGCAACATGTCTACTGAGCGACGACTCCCGAGAGCGCATCTTTGCACAGCAGCCGCATCCCTCTTGTGACAGCTCCCCCCCACCGTTACCACTGTTTCAGTATCCACCCCACCCTGGTCTGGGTCCAAATGTACCCTACCCCCAGAAGCGACCATATCCCCCATGCCCACCCCACCCCCTGATTACCCAAGGTCAACCCTACTTTGCTATAGTGAAGATTCCTCCACGTCGATGACCAACCCTTTTCCCGCTGGACCACCCCTTTTTCTCCGTTACCCCACCCCAATTTTTGCCCCCAGGGTCCGTGTTGATCCGGAGGCGAACGCATGAACCCTGAAGTAGAGTTGTGATGTGATGAGATTGGACAAGACAAGACGAGGGAGAGGGAGAGAGGAGAGCAGAAGACGAGAGAGAGAGAGAGAGAGAGAGAGCAAGAGATGATGCTCTCCTGCCTCTTGTCCTCTTGTCCTCTTGTCCTCTTGTCCTCTTGTCCTCTTGTCCTCTTGATGAGAAACGGCAGAGAGGAATGTGAATTGACCCCACACACCTCCATATCCATTTTTATACCTGCTAGATGATGCAACAAGCCTACTAATGACGAAAGAGAAACAAGTGTAAGTGAGAACAACCCACAAGATAACTGCACGACTGTGAGTTGAGAGGATCGGACCAAAGATGAGAGATGGTACCAAAGCAGCAGGAGTTGTTTACCAGGGAGCACTCAGCACTTGACAGGGTTGTCAGGTGTAGGTGAGAGATGGGTTGTAACTCTAGACGTGTAATTGCAGCTTACAAGTTGTCTGATGCTCTGTAATTTCACTCCATGATTTCTGCTTTCTAGGTAAAATGACCTGACGAAGTCCAGTGAAGGAACTCATGAAAACCTTTCTCTGCCTGCTCCTCGCTTGGGCGTTATTGTGCTTTCAAGTAGAATGCTTTCTGTTCTCAGGTTCGACATTGCACCCAACAAGGAGGGTGATTTCCAACCCCCCGAAAACCTTGCGCAAGAAGGGTGGCGGGCTTCGATTGCTTAGTGCAGTGTCACGCCCGGAAAGCGGCAAGGATGAGATCAGAAGAGAAGGAGTAGCGCGAAGGAGCATGCTTGTCGTGAGCGCTGCTGCTCTCTCCGGGTTCTTTCTTCCTGTTGGAGAGCGCCGAGCCGCCGCCAAGCAGCCGCCTGGTCTCGTTTGGCGTCCGGTGTCTGGGCCAGAGGGGTCAGCGATCAGAACCAACATGAACGCTGCTGAATCGACTTATTCCCTGCGCTTCATAGAGTACCTTTCCAAATTTCTCCTGAATTATGATGCCAGCAGCATGGCACTGTGGAAGAGGAGAGGAGAGGAGCTTTCTGTGTTGCCGATGGACGCATATCAAGACAAGAGATTGGAGCAGTTCGCATCTTTCTCTGCCTCGGTGGAGTATGGGCTCAAGTCGTACAATGGGACGGAAGGAGCTGCGCGTCTGGTCAAGCTGCTGGTTCGAAGGTTTGGATCGGCCGATCGAGACGCCCTGCAGCAGATCGGCTTCCTCTTCACCTTGATGGACAAGTTCCAACCCACCCAAGAGATTCAGTCTGTGCTGTCAATGTGGGAGAACGCGAGCCTGACCAAAGTCTCGCTGGTATCACGAGGATCAGGGTACACAGGAGCTGCGCCTGAAGTCGATGTGCTGGTCGACTACGATCCTGCGGTCAAAGCTCAAGCGAAATGTCTCCTGCGGCCCAACGGAAAGATCCTAAGAGTGGAGGTTGAGGACGGGGGTGGAAACTTCTCGAAGCCTCCGCGTGTAGTGTTTGAGGGGCTTGATGAACTGGCCAAGATGGGGATGATGGAGGAAAATTTCAAGAAGCCCAAGGCAGAGGCTGTCGTGGAGGATGGGCGAGTAGTGGGAGTGAAGATGAAGGCGGCAGGGAGCGGGATCGGACGAGTTTCTAAGGAATATCTGCGAGTGAACTTCCTGCCCGACGAGTCGGAGGATCAGATGGCAGCAGCAGGAAGAGGATATGCTGTACTGGATAAAGAGGTAGATCGGATCGAGATCTTGAACCCGGGAGCTGGATATACAACTTCTTGCCCGTGGAAGGTAGACCTGGAACTGAGCGCTCTCTGAATGATGTAGGACGCAGGTCAAAGTACAATCTCCCATAGACTCGGGGGGAGACACGAACGGAACAACAGCAACGGCGATTGCCACCTTCGGACGACTCGGTATGTTGAGGTGATGGTGGACGGCATTTCTGAGTTACTTCAGGCAACACAAGTGCCAAGAAGGTTGCAATGAACTCACAGGACACCAAGACCATTGACGAAGTTCTGACGCGTCTTCTCCCTTCATCGGTCTTCTCGATTCTAAATCCTACAGCAGCTGCAAATGTCTCACCTGCTCTCACAGGTCCGCGTTGAGTATGATCCCTCCTCCAACCGCTTCTCCTTCGTCGAGAAGTCTCTTTTGGGCAACAACATCTCTACGCCCTTCGGGCCTCTGGGGAAAGTTTCTAGACGGGCTCCTATCGAGAAAGAGTCGAACCTAGATGGCAGGTCCTCTTCCTCCTCCTCCTCCTCCTCCTTCTCAACTCCTTGCAGTGTCTACTGGCGCCTTGCAGCGAGTGGAGCCATCTGTGCCAGCTTCGCGCACGCCGCTCTTGTTCCTCTTGACACCGTCAAGATCCGCATGCAGGTGAACACCTGCTGGGCCCTCGCGTGAGCGTGACGGCCTCTTGCAGACAGCACCACAGGGCACGTACGATGGGCTGCTGGATGCAGCAGTCAAAGTTTTGACTAAGGAAGGAGGGCTGACAGCTCTGCTCAGAGGCCTGCAGGTTCAAAACTGTGAGGCCTCCGTGAGTTTGACACGTCACGTCAGCCGGAGGTGGCTGGGTTCGGCATCTACGGGGCTCTGTCCTTCGGAGGTACAGAGTTCTTCAGGAGGTTCTTTGCGGATCTAGCTGGACCCAAGCTGGTCTGTCTGCTCAAATTGTGGTGGAAGAACTGAATGGTCCTCGCAGTCTCTGCTTTACCCTGTTCCCGTCGTTGTGTTGTCCAGCGTGACAGCTGCTGTCTTCGCGGCAGCAGCAGCTTGTCCATTCATGGCCGTCAAGACGAGGTGAAGCTCTGCTGTCTTCCAACCGCAGCTCATGCGATTGCCAGGCTGATCGCCGACGAAAAATTCGCTGGGAGCAGCCTGATCAAGGGATGGAACAGGATGCAGGAAGAGGAAGGGTGGTCTTCCCTGTTTAGTGGATTGGTGAGCAGGAGCAGAGGGGAGGAGTGAGGGGAGGAGGAGGAGCTGGAGGAGGAGGAAGTGAGAGCTTTTTCGCAGGTTCCAATGCTGGTTAAAGACGTTCTCTTCGTCATGTCCAAGTTTGCGGTCTTCGATGTGACCAAGACTAGCATCTTCCTCGCCTTCCCTGAACTCCGCGACGATCTCGGCTCCATCCTCTTCGTCTCGTTGGTCAGCGGTATCAGCTCGAGCAGAGCTGGGCGCGATTGTGACGATGTGTAGGGACGATAGCTGGGATGGTGTCGGCAGTGACGTCACAGCCGGGGGATTATCTCTTCGCCAAGGCTAGCGAGTCGAGAGGAGCGACACTGGGGAGCGCGTGGAGGACGTGGGTAGCGAGTAGGAGATGGGGAGATATCCTCATCGGCCTTCAGCCTCGCATCCTCTTCGGCGGCGCTCTCATCGCCCTCCAGTTCGTCATCTACGACTTCTGCCGGGTGAGCAGGAGGTCAGAAAGAGCAGGAGCCCAGCTGAATCCCAGTGTCAGGTCCAATTTCATGTCAGCCCCAACGACCTCAGCCAGTTCCTCGACGTCATGGCAGGCAAGACTCTCTCCTCCTGCTCCCTCTCTCCTCATCGCTCCTTGTCTTGCTCGTCTCTTCTCCTGATGCACCTGCAGGTGTCGCTGAGAACATGTAAAGTAGGAGCTGCCTCCCCCGCCTCTGCTTGCTCTTGTTATCATTATATTTCATTCCATGTCATCCTCCTGCTCTCCCTCTTTCCCCCTATGCTCCCGGAGGTCGCTGGATCCCTGCGGCCTCGAGGGCAGCGAGGGCATGGCTCCTTGCATCCGGCAACGCGCTTCCCATGAACTCTGAGAGACTCTTGGCTGCTCCGGTGGTGGTGACGAGCATCGAAACCTGAACAGACAGTCAGGTTCTCCTCCTCCTCCTCCTCCTCCTCCTCCTCCTCCTCCTCCTCCGCCTCCCCCGTCTCAGAGATTCAACGGTGATTGCTCCTCCTCCTCCTCCTCCTCCTCCTCCTCCTCCTCCAGCATCGCTCACATCGTCTTGGAGCTGTTTGTTGTGCGGGTCGAGCAAGAGCGCGCGCTTGAAGTCTGCTCTTCCCTCTTCGAAGTCACCGTGCCAGCACCTCCTGCGCCTTCGTCATCCCTGCTCCTCCCCTGCCTCTCGGGTCCTCACGCTGTGCCTCTGCGGACAAGCAGACGGAGTGCCAGCTTCGTGTTGAAGTGACCAGAAGGGTCGAGCAGCATCAGCGCCTCTGTGCTGTCCTCGATGCAGCGGACATACTCCTCCTTTGCGAGCCAGCAGGCTGCTCGGTTGGACAGAGCCTGAGGTGAAAGCTTGTGAGGGGACGCGAAACGAAAGACAAGGACGAGAAACAAGAGGAAGGAAACTAGAGGGACCTGAAAGCATCCTCCATCTGCATCGATGGCAGCATCGTATGCTCGAATGGCCTCATCGGTGTTCCCCTGCTTGAAAGCGCGGTCCCCCTCCTCCTTCGCCTTCACGTACGGATGCTGAGCGATCGCCTGCTCTCACAGTCAACGTTGTATATTGATGTTGCAGGACCCATATTCATCGACCTCCCCCCCCCCCCCTTCCACTGCCTGGTCCTCGGCCTCCCTCCTCACCTCTCGCAGCCCCTCCAGGTCGTCCTTGATCAGCTCGTTGTCTGGAAGGAGCTTACTCGCTGCGTCAAGATCCTGCAGGGCCTGCAAGGAGAGAGACAGTTAGAAGCTCCTCCTTCCTCTCGCTCATCGCAGGTCCACCAGGTCGAACATTCCCAAGCGCGTGTATGCTGTTCCGCGGCGCAGAAGACATCGAGCTCGCTTCTCCAGCTCCTGCGCCCAATCCTCGGGATCTTTCCCCTCCTTCTTCACCTGCACCCTTCTGTCAGCTACCTCTCTCCCCTCCTTGTCCTCCACCTTCTTGAAGAGGTCGAGAGCCTTGCTGGCGTCTGCTATGACGTCTGCAAAGAGGAAGAGGCGGAGGGAGCACAGGCTGCGGTTGCTATATGCCTGAGCGTTCCTGGTGTCCAATTGCAAGCAGCTAGTGTAGGCGTTGAGAGCTGCCCTGTAGTCCCTCGTCCTATAGAAATGATCTCCTCGCATCTTCAGCCATTGTGCCTGATCCTCATTGGGACCCCTGAATCATCATGATCATTAACAGCATCACAACACCGTCGTCATGGTAACCAACATCATCACCAACGACAACATCGACAACAACAAAAGTAAAAGCATCACGAACTCGCTTCACATCCTCATCCTGGTTGCGTCATCCACCCGCAATCAAAATCCCCAATGGACTTCTCCACAACCTCAACCCTTCACTACCCAGCGGCATACCTGGCGTCGGGGTTGGCCCGCTTCTTCTCGCGGTAGTCTTCCTCTTCGCGGACTTTGACCTCTTCGTCTGTCTCGATTCTTTCTCTGCTCCATCGGTCAGATTCCCCCACCTCCCTTCCTCCTCCTCCTCCTCCTCCTCGCCCCCGCCCCCCGCCCCTTATCATTTCCAAGACCTTGCGGGCAGGTTACGACGACCTTTGGTGAAGTTCAGCTCGACCCTTCCAGCTGAGCGAGGAGGAGGCAGCGCAGAGAGCGTGTCTCGATCCTTTTCCTCCTTCTCCTTCTCCTTTTGCAGTCTCAACTCCTCTTCCTGTTCAGAATTACCGTCTGGTCTTCCTTGTCCACCTCCACCAATCCCTCACCTCCTTCGTCTCGTACACTCTCAGCTGATCCTCTACCCATGGAGCAGCTTCCCTCGCAAGTGCCTCGTGCCGTTTTGCATCCTCAACCATACCAGCCTTGAAGTATGCGTCTCCAATCATTCTGTGCTTCTGCGCAACAGCCTCTGCATCCCATCTGAGGAGGAGAGTCATGGGGGATCGCCAGCAGAAAGAAGAGACCTGTTGAGAGAGGCTCCCTTCTTCCTTCCTAACAGCTTCTCTTCATCTGCCACGTCCGATCGTGAAGATTCTCTCTTGTTGGCCGGTTTGTCTTCATCATTTTCCTCCTCCTCTTCGACATTCTTCCCGGACGCAAGTTCCTTGCCCAAGTCACCTTCCTCTGCCTCCTTCTTGTTACGGCAGCTCTCCTCTTCCTCCACTGCTGGGTTCTTAGAAGAGCTACTGGCATCAGGTTTCTGTTTGGCTGTCATCGACAGCGGCATCACTCGTTCTGCCTCAAGTCGTCTGTGCTCCTTCGCCTTCTGCTCCTCGTCGACCTCCTGCTCCATTGCTTTCTTGATCTCCTCCTCCTCCTCCTCCTCCTCCTCCTCCTCTATCTCCTCTATCTGAGATTTCTTTGCACTAACCTCATCTCGTCTTTCGATCGATGCTTCCTTGTCTTTCTTCCTAATGTCAAACTCTGGTACTGGTTCAGCCTTGAGCGAGTTTGCCATGGCGCTACTTCTTGCTGTCTTCTTGTGGTAACTGCCAGGGAGCGGAATGAGTCCATCTTTCTCCTCGAAGGGATCGACGTCTCCCTCCACCAGCTGCTTGTCAAAGTAAGTCGAAACCTGCTCATCCTCAGCACCTCTGCCCGCAGCCTCCTTCGCTTCCTTGGTATCAACCCACTCGTACAGCTGCTTCTCCGCATCTTTCTTGTGCAGCTCAGCAAGGCGCTCAATGACTCTCTTCTCGTCCTTCTCTAGATCCCACTGCTTGTGGAACACGTAATCATCGTCCTGCCGTTTCTTCTCCTTTGTGTCCTCGTAGCGCCGCGCGTCTCTCTGGCTTTTCTCTCGAATCGAAGCCTCCCGCCTCTCTTTCACCGATGCAGCGTCTCCAGCCGCCTTCAGCTGACCCCAGATTCCCTTGTCTTTCTTTCGCGCTTTGATCGAAACAACACCCGGCAGAACAGTGGCCTTGCTGGTTGATTCATCGATATCCTTGTACAAGTCAAGCTGCAAAGCAATCAACAACAAATCACCGCGAAAAACTCTCATTTGCTCACTTGCAGGAAGTATGGTGGAGATGTCACTTTGATCATAGCATCTGTGCATTCCACCCGGGTATTCCTTGTCGATCCAGCTGCACTTGAAAGAATGACTTCTACAGAGCAGCTTTCTTCATCTTCATTCCACTTGAACTGTGGAGTGAGAGGCATCCTGCAGAAGAAACGCTCAGCCGTGCTCTGATGTCGGTCTCATTCACTACACGTGACATAATGCTAACTCTCTGCCACTAATCTCCCTTCAAAATGTGCTTCGCAGCAATTGTAACATCGTGAGCTGATTTTCTTCATCTCTCACGTTTCATCCAGAGTTGTCATTGGTCCGTCCGATCTTTCTAGAATGCTCACACTTTCATGGCTCTCTTTCTCATAGCTTGATCACATGTTCCTTTCTCTTCTTGTCTGATCTCTCTCCTCGTCTCTTCTGTGCCATACACATTGCTGCACAAGGTCTACACGCCATCGTATGCGTTGGAAATGGGGCCCTCATCTCCACCAATGACCCAGATTTAGCCCTCATCCCCGCGTCTTCCCCATCCGACGATGCCGCCAAAACCAGTGTGCCAGGGGTCATCGGCCAATCCTTTCGAGGGGTAGTCAATAGGGGGTGGGGTATTTCATAGGGGTGTATTTGAAGGGATTTGCCAGGGTCGCAAGAGGGGTAGTAAGTGGTGGAGCTTTGGCGCGGCCCCTCCGAAAGTTTGTCGGTGAAAAAGGCGGGAAATGGCGGGAAGAGGGAAGAAGGTTCAGGAGGCAGAAGATGACGTAGCATGTTTGATGAGAGGAAACATGCGAGAATATCACGAATGGTAGAGATGGGAAGACTTTCTGATGATGTCTTGTTTCGAAGGGAGGCATTGTTGTGCAGAAATGGTGGAGCATGTAGAAGGCTGATGAAGTGAAGTTGGGCTGAGCATGAGTAAACAAGTTTAGAAATATACAACAGTGAATGCAATCATCAGTCAGTATTGTTTGGTTGTAACTTGATGCTGTCACAGTTTCTTCGGAGATGCCAGCACGCGATGACGACGGACGAGGATGTCTGTACAAGCTCGTAGTCCAAAATTTCAAAAGTTATGCTGGATACCTTGAGATCGGTCCATTCAAAGATTTCACATGTGTGATCGGACCGAATGGATCAGGTGAGTTTATCTTTTAAGATATCTGCTCAGTCAGCTTGTGATCTCTCGCCAGGGAAATCGAACTTGATGGATGCAATCAGCTTCGTTGTTGGAGTGACAGCCACTACGCTCAGAGGATCGAGGATTGCGGATTTTCGATCAAATTTGAGCACTGCCAGTGCATCTCCAACCTCTGTGTCGCTCTTCTACCGAGGACCTGAGAAGGGGTAAGTGATTCATTACTATCACCACTTGAATTTTAACCAGCAACAACTAGATCTGGCAAATTCGATGAGATTCAGTTCACCAGAACGATTACTTCACGCGACACAAGCGAATATAAAATTGACAATAAGAAAGTCGACGAGAAAGAGTACCAGAGGAGATTGAAATCTATTGGTCTGCTGGTGAAATCTCGCAACTTCCTGGTTTTTCAGAACGAAGTCGAAGCGGTTGCCCAAAAGACCCCAAAACAACTCACTGAACTGCTAGAAAGAATTTCTGGTTCGGAGGATCTCAAGCAGCAGTACGAGGAACTTATGGAGCAAAAAAGTGCTGCATCTCAAACCGCTGTTGCAGTTTACAAACGCAGCCTTTTGGTCTCGAACGAGAAGAAACAGTGCAAAGAACAGGTGAAGGAGGCAAACACTTATGAGAAGATGCTCAACGACTTGAATGATCTGAAAACCCATCACGTTCTTTTTGATTTGTATCAGATTGAAAAGCAGATCGAAAGCCACGCAACAGAAGCTGAAACCTTGGGAGAAAAGCTTGAAGAATGCTCCAAAAATTGCAAAGCAGTATCCAATGCAGCAGACAAAAAGTCGAAAAAAAAGGCTGAAAAGCAAAAAGAGTGGTCAGTGATTGACAAGAAAGTTGATGACCTTGAAAAGAAAGTGAAGAGTATCCAACGACAAGATCTTCTCAAGCTGTCAACAGAGATAAGCTCAAGAAAAGCTGACATCACCAAAAATTCTGAGGAAATGAAGAATTCGAAAGAAAAACTCCAGGAGATGACTCAAAAACTCAAGTCTGAAGAAAAAGAACGAGATGACCTCGAAGCTGCTCTCAAGGAGATTGAGTCCAAAAGCAAGAAAAGAGGTATTGATCTGGTTGGAGAACAGGTCTCGGAGTACAACCAGTTGAAATCCAAAGCTTTTCAAATGTCTCACAAAGCCAAAACAGCATTGGAAAGGACAGAAAGGGCTGATCAAGAAGCAAAACGTCAACTTGAGACATTGGAAGTGTCAATGAAGCGTTGTCAACAACGGATCGATCATCTCAGCAGCAAGATCAAGGATGAGTCTGCAGTCAATAGCAAGAATCTGAACAAGCTGCAGGTGAAATTGTGCTTTTCAGTTGATATTATCTGATATACATCAGGGGTTGAACGAAGAGAAGCACAAGTGCAGCAGCGAATTGACGGATGTCACAGCGAAATTGAAGGACGAATACGCCAGAAAGAAGGTGAAGCGATAAGAAATTTGAACAATACTTTTGACCTGAATCAAGGTCCTGGTAAACGAGAACCGCGAATTGCAAGAAAAGATTCGAGAGGCAAGCTTTGACCACCACCAGAATCAAAGAGACGAGCAATTTAAGATCAGACTGGAACACCTATCCAGCTCGTTCCCTGGTATTCGCGGACGTGTGATGGACTTGTGCAAAGTCCGCCAACGACAACATGAGCTTGCAATGGCGATAACCATGGAGGGTAATATGGATGCAGTCGTCATCGACAAGGAAGAAACTGCTCGTCGTTGTATTGAGCATCTGAAGGAGCAGAAAGCTCCAGCGATGACGTTTCTTCCTTTGGATACCCTTACTGCAAAACCTCCTGACGAGAGGTACTCCCTTCGATTGCAAAGCTATTTGTTTTGATACTGACGCTGAATCAGATTGAGAATGATTCAAGGAGCTAAGCTTGCATTGGATTGTATCGAATACGAAAAATCTGTGGAAAAAGCGATGTGGTATGTCACGGGCAATACTGTCTTGGTACCTACATTGCAGGATGCAAAAAATTTGGCATATCAGTCCCAATCAGTTGGTTCATTGAGATGCAAGGTAATATTCTCCCAAATTGTTAAATTGTGACATGATTTCCTCAGGTTGTAAGCCATGATGGTGCATTGATTTCAAAATCAGGAACGATGACGGGAGGAGACAATTCACATTTGCAATCGAAAGCCCAACGATGGCAAGCAAACGAACTCGATAAGCTGAGAGAAAAATTAGAAAAATGCAGCAGAGAACAGGAAGTAAGACATTTATAGCTGATCTATCGCATAACTGATGAACTCTTGATTTGCAGTCAGTCAGCAAAACAATTGAAGTTCTGGAGAGGGCTAAATTTGGCCTTGAAAAGAAGCTTTCAGAAAATTCCGCCGAACTCACTGCGGCTCAAAGACTGAAAGAGATCCACGATATTGACCAGAAAAATTTGGAAAAGGAGGTGAATATTCACAAGAAACAACTGGAGACACTTGCTCCCAACATCCAACACATGAAACGAGAAATCGATTCGCAGAGAAAAACTCTTGAAGAAGACAGGGCTGCGCTTGACAAAATCCATGATATGGTTTATCGGGACTTCTGCAAGAAGATGGGTATCAAGAGCATCGCTGAATTTGAAGGTGGATCCTTGAAAGAACAGCGTGAAGTCCAAAGCAGAATCAACGATCTTACCCAGCAGGTGATCTTTTGTTACTGTGACAAAAGGTCACTGACTACATGCTAATCTGCATAGAAAGCGAAAGTTGAAGGCGTCATTGCCAAATCCAAGTCAAATTACTCTGCGTACGTCAAGCTGCTTGAGGACAAGAAGCAAGAAACAAAAAAACTTGAGGAAGAAATTGCGTCTCTCAAAAGCAAAGAAGAATCAAGCAAGAAGAAGATGAAGGAAGCCATGGATGCAAAGGAAGAAGAATTGAGAAAGCAAAAAGCAATTAAGGAGGAGATCGATGAAATTGAGAAGGAGTACAAGGAGATTACCAAGGTTTTGAAAAAAGCTAATGAAGATCGTGAGGAAATTTCAAGACAATTGGAAAAGGCTGAAGCCCAGATGCAACGATTGCGGGACAAAAGAAATGGAGTCTTTGAGCAATGTAAAATGGATGAAATCGAAATTCCCACGAGGAAGAAAAAAGATGGAAGCACTGATGACGATGAAGAAGACAACATGGATATCGAAGCTGGTCATAGCCAAACTGCCAAAGAGATCAGACAAGAAGTGTTGCAATCTCGCATAGATTTTTCGAAACTGCCAAGGGAGCATAAGCGTGATCTTGGTGAGAAAGACCAAGAAAAGATACGGTCGGACCTTGAAGAGAAGCAAAAAAAGATCAACGAAACGCTCCAGACGATGAATCCAAATATGAAGGCGCATGAACAGCTCAAAGAGATCGAAGAAAGATACGAAGCTGTGCAGCAGGAACTGTCATCTGCCAAACAGAATTCGCAGGATTTAACAAAGCAATTCGAAGATGTCAAGCAGAAAAGATGCGAGTTGTTTAACAAATGCTTCGACCACGTCAAAGGATGTATCGACGAGATTTACAAGGAGCTCACATGCGATCCAACGAAAGTTGAACAGAGCGTTGGTGGATCTGCATATCTTACCCTCAACAATCAGGAGGAGCCCTACATGGATGGTATTAAGTATGACACCATTCCTCCGGGCAAACGCTTTATGGACATGACTCATCTCTCGGGAGGAGAGAAGACGGTTGCGGCGCTTGCGCTTCTTTTCGCCATCAACAGCTACTGTCCAGCTCCCTTCATCGTTCTCGACGAGGTGGATGCAGCTCTAGACGCTCGCAATGTGGCAAAAGTCACTCGTTACATCCAATCGCGAAGGCACGAGCAGCAATGTGTAATCATCTCTCTCAAAGAGCGTTTCTACGAAAAGGCAGACGGGCTGGTTGGCATATGCAGAGACATAACGGGAGGTCACAGCAACGTCTTTACGCTCGACCTGTCCATGTATGAGGACGGCATTCAGTGATCCGATCAAAGAGTGATACTTCGCTCGGATATCGAAATTTTGTACAAGTAAAGAAAAAGATGAAGCGCTTGTCGAGATTCAACACAGAAGCAGCATCATGTAGCTGAGTCCAATGAAGATTCTCCATCGCATCATCGACCTTCATTGCTGCCTATAGTCATATCCGAAGGAGCTGCGCCCGGCGTCGTTGCTGCTGCGCCATCCATGTGCTGAGGAGGAAAACACTCAATGATTTGCGAGGCAGTCAACGTCATCGATCACTTACGAGGATGCCAAAAGCTCCCATAGAAGTCGTGTCCACTCCCCTCTCCATCGAACGATGCCATAGCTACGTCATGGTCAGGACAGGGATCCGATACATCCAGAAGGTACCCGTTGCAGCGTCACCGATGTTCAAGCCATAATCACCGTAGCTGCTCCCCCTCGAGTTGCAGTACTGCGAGAGATGTCAACCCCAGGGATTCACTGGCGAACAGACGTTTTGGTTCTCCTCAGTTCAATTCACATTAAAGTTTTTTTACACCCGACAACAAGTACATCAGTGAACTGAACCTCACTCACACTGGCTACCACGTTGCAGAGAGAGGGAGAGGGAGGGAGGGAGGGAGGGAGGGAGAGAGAGAGGAGGGAGGGGAGGATTGCCTCGTATCAACTTCTGCACATCATGCTGCATAATTACTCTGACCAACCCCATCTTGTATAGATTGTCTTCTGCATTACAAAACCCTTCGGGTCCAAACATCATGCACTCTCCCTCTCCCTCCCTCTCTCTCCCTCCCTCCCTTCCTCCCTCATTGCATCACCTGAGATCCTGGGCCCGAGCATCCCATGGGCGAGTCAAGCTCGATGCTGGCCAGCAGCGCGAACATGACAAGAGCTAAATCGGGTTCGGCGGAAAGGTTGGTTTGGTTGTAGTATTGAAACTATAAATTTTTCATATGAAACGTTGTATATACTACAAAATATCAAAAATTTCCTATAAACTTATTGAAGCGACTGCTCAGGCGACAGGGAAGGACGAGGAAGGGGGGGGGGGTAGAAGAAGGAACACCAGATATGACGAGAGAGTAAGTGCAAGGAAATGATGTCAGAGAGTGAATTTAGATAGCTACCATAGAGGGCAAACACTTGAAATCATTCTGATCATGACATGACAAACACTTTTGACAGGAATGATCTCTTAGAATCGGTTTCATCCAGAGCTGATGATATCCCTTGCTGGTTGACGGGAGCAAAGGAAATGAAAGGCAGGTCCATTCGGACCCTTGCATGCTTGTGCTTTTGGCTTTTTCCAGCTGTGTGGCGAGGGGTTGCCCAGGATGCGGAGGCAGACCTGGATGTCAAGACCGGGTGCTTGGTCCTGGATGGAAAGAGCATGCACGAGTTTGGAAGCGAGCTTCCCTTTCTGCATGTCTCCATGGCACATTGCATGGAGGAAGTTGATCGGTCGGGGGGTCAAGTCAAACTCATGACAAGGCTGGATGGGGAGGATCTGAGATCCTACGATTTTCAACCTCAACCCCTCCTGATCACCCTCCCGCTGCTTCTTGCAGGCCCTCACGAGTTTGCGGTGTCGTTGAGAGCGATGGAGGAGGATGGCAGCATGAGAGATGAGGATGCTATCGACGAGCAGTTCTTCCTCTTCTTCACCTGCGACTTCCGCCCCCGGCTGAACTGGGTCTTCCCTCCAGCTGGGTATGTCTTCAAGCGAAACTCGCAGAGGTTCCTCCGTTTCACCGTGGACGATGTCGGTGACCCGAGCCGCTGCCAAGAAGGATCGACGTCATGCTCGGGGTACGAGCCCATGGCCTACCATGTGTCCTACTATGTGAACGGGGAGAAGATGGGGGAGAGGATGAGGAGTGTCTACTTCCTGGGGCTGAGCTTCTTGCCGGACGGACATCATACTGCCTACGTGGAGGTTTCAGACAAGCACAATCAGCCTCTGGGGATCAATCACTCGGTCTCCTTCAGCATTGCGAGTGACGAAGAATATCTCGAGGATGGGGAGATGGCGGAAGTTGAAACTCCATGCCCCGAAACAAGATGTCCGAACGACTGCGGGGAGATGGGGAGGAGATCTGAGAGTCACTGTGTCTGTGCCCCAGATTGGACAGGAGAGCGATGTGAACATCATCTACTGAGCCATCTGGCCTACCTCCCCACCAGCGACCCTCACATGGCTGGCGATCGCTGCGTCAAGGTAACATGCCATGGCGGCGGGGATGGAGATGGTGAAGTGTCGGGCAGAGCAAGGTCTGGGAGGAGATGGCAGAGGAGCTGCGAGTGCGATTGGAACAGCTTCAACACGCTACCGATCATCGTCAATGCAGAAACTCTTCTCGCATCTCAGTAGTTCGCATCCGGGGAACCAACGGGCATACCGGGTTTGCCTCATTCGTGGAGCAGGTAGAAAACCTTGCGATAGATGCTCCTGACGCTTCTCCTGTTCGCAACCCCACGGCGATTCAAGATCGCTGGAGCACTGGCGGGAGCTTTCCGCAACGGCACGATGCTCTACGTGAGAGATTTCTGTGACTACCTCTATCACCGCGGTTGCCCTCGAAGATCCACAGAGCAGGAAGATCTCTCCTGCTACTTCCAGCCCTTGTTCTCAGGTATCCCAGCCCCCTCCTTTCCCCTCCTTCCCCTCTGAAAGGCTGCAGGATGCAGTCCTGAAGACGTCAGCCGGCATGATAGCACAGAGGTGATTCCAAGAGGGGATGAGACTCGGCCCGGGAGAGGGAGAGGGAGAGGGAGAGGGAGAGGGAGAGGGAGAGGGAGAGGGAGAGGGATAGGAGGTGTAAGGAGGATAGCGCAGGTGTTGGAGCACATCGAAGACTACAAACCTCCTGCTGACTTCGAATCATGGGGTTTCTTCTGGTGGAATTCATATCTGCTCAGCTTCATCATGGCTCCTAACAGGAAGCTTGTGGTAACAGACCCTCCTCCTTCAGTCTCAAGTCCTTCATCGCTCCTCCCCTCTCCGCTCGTCTCGTCTCCTCTCGTCTCCGCCCCTCTCTGCTCCGCGCCTCGCCTCGCCTCGCCTCTTGCAAGTTTCAGTTCCGCCATCGCTCTTCTCATGTTCCTTTTGCCCTTGCATGTCTCCTTCATTGACCTCTTTCATGTTCGTTTCTCTCCGACTCTTTGGCCCTCCTTCCCTCCTCCGCTTCCTCCTCTCACTCTTCCCTGCTCAGGGGCTCCTTCGAGCTGCCAAATCGGCCTTGAGCTTTCGGAATCCGATCATAGGAGTTCACGTGAGGAGAGGAGATTCCTGCAAGCTGAAAGCAAGTCCGGGGTGAGAGAGGCAGGAGGAGGAGCAGCAGCAGCAGTAGCAGGTAGAGGAGTATGAGCAGCAGCAGCAGCAGCAGCAGCAGCAGCAGCAGGACAGGAGGAGCCCTTTGAAGTTGGTAATGAGGGTGGAGGAGGACGGTGATATTTTGGGGGAGAGCAGGGGGTTCGCAATCCAGGAAGGAGATTTAGCGTAAGAGTCTTTCTGGTCGGCAGGTATGGGATGCCACTGGCAAGCTGCAAGCACTTCAGGGACTTTATGCCGCACGTGCGGAACATTTCAGCCTTATATGGGGTCAAGACCGTGTTTGTCACCTCTGACAGTCCTTCCGTCTACACTGAGACAGCAGAGGTGAGAAGAATTGGGAGGAAAGAGGGAGAGGGAGAGGGAGAGGGAGAGGGAGAGGGGGAGGGAGAGGAGAGGGAGAGGGAGAGGGGGAGGGGGAGGGGGAGGGAGAGGGAGAGGGAGAGGGCTGAGCTTGCTGTCAGTTTGAAGGAGAAGGATTCACCTTCCTCTTCTCGAGGGCGGACAGAGAGTTTCTAAGTCACGACTGGCTGCTCGAGATGCGCCTTAGGATGGCGCTAGTCGACCGCAAGCAAGTCGCTGAGGCCACTCTAACTGACATCCTCCTCCTCGCGGAGTGTGATTACCTTATCCTCGGCCTGCAGAGCGGGTAGCTCGTCCCAGCGCCATGTCCTAGTCCTCAGTCCCTGCTGCAGGTACAGCCGGCTCGCCTTGTCTCTAGCTGCTGCTCGCAAAGGTTTCGTGCCGCCCTACGTCTCCATGGACTACCCTTGGATGCCGCGATTCGGCATGACGGGGCCTCGACCGCCATGGCGGGAGTGGTGGAGGTAAGACCAACTCAGTTAATTATCAACTTGAGATCTTCTCTCTATCCGTTACACTAGGGCCATGTGACATGGCTCGCACTCCTCTCGCTTCATCCTCCTTCTTCACTCCTCGCGCGTCCCCGCAGTCAATGGCCCCGCGACCTCAACACGCGACCGCGCTGCTCTCCGTCCACCTGCTCTCATGCGCATGAATCACAAGCTAGTGAGGACGAAGGGGGTTACCTGGAACGCACTTCTGCTCCTCTTGTTGGCTGTGTTGTGTTTATTTGAGTCTGAGTCGTTGTCTGTGTTGTGCATCCCAGCATGCTCCGCTCCGTGCTCGGCATCAGACTTGTCTCCTGACAAGGAGCCAACAGGCACTCCCAAGAGTGCGGCCTTGCGAGCAAGAGCTTCTTCAAGCTTCCTCTCCGCAACTTGCGCCTCAGCCAGAGCTGTCTCGAGCTAGCAAGCAGGTCAGAGCAAGCAGGACAGCCATTGAACTATCACCATCTCCTCAGCTATTCTCTTTCTCTCTAAAGCCGCTGCCGTCCTCTCCTTCGCTTGCCGCTCAGCTTCTTCCGCGGCCTTGACCATCTAGCAAGCAGGCAAGTGAGACCCCTGTGACAAGAACGTCTCTGCCATCACTTCTTCAGAGTTGGATCCTCCGTCCGGAGTTGAGATCGGAACGACTCTGCCATTTGGCGACATCATCAGGTTGGAGTGCTGGAGGAGTCCGCCGGCCAGCTGGGAAGATGTCTGCGGGTTGTTCATGAGGCCCGTCCCAACAGCGAAGGCCTGTTCAAGTCCGTGAGCTGCCACCCACAGGAGACAAGACATCAAGACATCTTACCTGGAGGTACGAGAATGGGGCGTTCACGTTTCCCACGTTGAACTGGCTGAAAGAGACTCCTTTGCCGACGTCTCCTTCCACCTCAGGACGCTTGTAAGGGATCGGTTTACTGTCATCGGGCAGTTAGTCATCACCATCAAGCTTCCACACGTCTCAGCAGACCTGCCTAGACCAATCTTATCCAACATTTCGACGTTCGGAGGCTTCGGACAAGTCCTCCTGTTGTGCCCCGTCTCTCCACAGAGGCTACATGATCGCATCGAGTCTCCCTGGTCACATCATCATCAGTGACCACATGGCAAACGCGCTCGAAGAACTGACATCATGCGCGCACATGCCGGCGAGAGCATGCTGTTGGTTGCCCTCAGACGAGGCCCCGTCTAAAGTCTTCTCTTCGGCAAGGAAGCTTGTGGCCGTATCTGCAGGAGCGGAGGGAAGATGATCGTGAGAGAGGTCGTGCGATGCGACTGCTTCCATTTCTTTTCTTTGGGATTCACAAGTTCACGACGACTGGCTGCCGTTGCTCATAAAAAGCCCTGAATCTGAGGCACCATGGAAAAGTCAGTGCCACGTTCAATCGGCCTAACTCCACCTTATGATGAGAAAAGAACAAGATAGTACAATAATTCAAAAGAACAAGAACAGACGTGAATGAAAGCCAAACTCCAGTTGTCTTCGGAGACTCCCTTGTGATTCGTCCTTTCCGTTCAGCATTTCCTACCCGAAGTAACCCCTCTTCCTCATTCCCCTTATTCACTGCCGTTACTATGTTTCTCTGTCCACTTTCCCTCTTCTATCCATTTCTCTCACTCACTCTCCCTCCTCCTCTCCTTTCCTCTCTGTGTATCTCCTCCCTCTGCTCTATGGATCTGCCACCATTTCCAGCCTCGTACCCACCCCCGTACTTCAATCGCAATCACTACCCCCCATGTTCGAAATGATACAAATCAACTCTTCACTAGTACAAATCGCTGATATTGGGTGGGTGGACAAAGTACCCCAACCCTACTTAAAGGTGGCGACCGTTTCATATTTGAATCAGACATAACTGTCGAGGCGTTCGAACCCACTTATCACTTGACAGTATTTAACTCACAAGGCCCCGGGCCGGGGCCCGTCACAGTGCGCCCGGCCCGGGGCCGCTCGCCGTCCGAGTCGGTGGCAGTCACTGTGAACTTCGGAATGTCAAGCCTTTGACGGGCGGCGACTTGATCTCAGCCTACTTGCCTCTGTACTACGGTAGGTGACTTTACCTCTGGTACGATGATCCTTCTCCTGTTGCACACTTGCTGACCGACCCCTGTAGCCGCTGAGAAGCCCCTGAGCCCAACCCCATGGATGCACAGCAGAGCCGCGCGAGCTCTTGGAATGAGAACGAACCGTTCGTTAAACAACCAATGACTACTGCATCAGAAGAAGCTTGTGGCAGTGTGGACGATGCGGAGTCAGAGGATGAGATCTCTGGTTTGACTGAGAGCATACTAGTCTTTGACTCACCTGCAGCCTCCTTCGAGCAGCAGCGATCGCATCGAGTAGTTTCTGCTGGGAGTGAGTCGGAGGCTTCAGAGCAGGGCGTGGAGGAGTCAGAGTCCAGCAGCATGTCGGGTTCTTGGCCCTGCCTGTGGACGCCGTTTGACGCGAAAGATCGCAACTGGCTCAAGTGGTACGAGCAGTGTGAGCTGAACGTGGATAAGGTGTAGGATGCAAGAAACCTTTGATACGCTTGGTGAAGCGCAAAACAGATTACGTGATGGGAAATGAAGTTTTGCGCGGGGATTTGGAAGAGGAGGAGGGTAATAGGACATCTCATTGAATATCTTACATTTCTGCGTCGCTGGGCTGAGCATCGGACGAGTCGGCAGCCTTCGCGCCGCCAGACAGGCCAGCAGCGAACGTCTTCTGCATGGACGAGATGAGCATGTTTGCTGCTGCCATGATGTTGTCAGTATGACAAGACGAGATGGAAGTCTTGGAGCTGTGGTGGACAGAAACTTCTGTCTGTATCATGTCGGCGCTCCTCACAGAAATCTCATACGACAAGTTGTGCTGATGGGGAGGCAAGGCCGAGCTTGCGTTCAGAAAGGCTTGCTCTTGCCACCTGCAGTGAATTTCTTCAGTACCTCCACGGCTGCTACTGTGAAACAAACCCGAAGCTGACATCATCTGGAATATCGGACTGCGATATGATCTTAGTATACGATAAAACTTGAAACATGTGTGCGGTTCCAACAAACCTCATCATCATCGTCGTCGTCGTCGTCATGTTTCACCAGCCTCTTCGGCTTCGTGGGGTCTGGCGGAGCATAGCCGGCGGTCTGGCTGGGCTCTGAAAGGCTCTGCGACCATGCCGTCAGGATAGAGAGGCGGACAGTCAGACACTGAAGCTTCACCTCGGAGCTTCTGTTCGATTCTTGCTTCATCCCCTTCTCCACCACCATCGTCTGCCCCTCCACCTCCTCCTTGTGCTCGCTGCAGATCGAGGGCCTCCTGCATCGGCCGTGAGGTCATACGAGCCCCGAGCCCTGTCCTCACGTCTTGTTCGCCCTGGTGTAGATCGGGTGACGGCGGCAACCCTTGAACTCACAACGAAAGTGCTTCACGTCCACATGCACCCCCTTGTGACATGCTGACAGTCAGCGAGAGCTTCTGCCGTCAGCTCCTCCACCTCTTTCCGATGGGCCCTGCACCATCGCGGTATTCTCTCGGTGGGATCCCCGAAGACTGGAAACTTGGAGCAAGTCCCGTCGTCTCCTTCGCACGTTCTGAGGATGAAGACGTCAGGTCAACGCGAGGGCCAGGAGCAGAGTCGCAGCACCTGTGGACAAGGTCCTTCTCCTCCGGCAGTCTGTGCAAGGAGCAATGCTGTCGATTCGGAGCACCTTGCACGATCTGTTGACCAGCAGCATGAGACCTCATCGCTTCCCCCTCGGTCATCGGCCTCACTGTCCCAAAACAAGCTCGGTTCCTGCAGCCAGGCTGGGTGCAGAAATGTCGTTGATGCGAGACCGACACGTGTTTCTGCGCCGTGAGTGAGGCGAGAAGAGAGATGAGGAGACGATCGTTCACAGGGTCCTTGTGGAGGCGGCAGAACATCGGCCTGCCCTGCGGAGCAATTGAGACGAGGAACGATGAAGGAGCAAAGGGAGAAGGAGGAGAGGGAGGAGGAGAGGGAGAAGGGAGGGTGGAGTGAAGAAGTAGGAGTTGGAGAAGGCGGTGGTTGTGGTGAATGAGGAGGAGGGAGAGGAGGGAGGGAGAGGAGAAATACGTCTGGGACACCGAAGGAAGCAAGGGTACTACATCCTTCGCTATGCTGACATTGAGAGTGTGCGAAATCCACGTCACTCTGTGGAGAGCCGGCACGGAAGGTCAGTCAGGCTAGTGGAGAACGGAAAGAAGGAAATGGAGACGCTCGTTCCCACCTCGTAGGCATGAAAACTACACCTCCACACCCTTTTCCTGCCCTTTTCCTTGGATGCCCAGTTTCCATATCGACTGCCATGCTAATTGCATCAAGAATATTGCAGAAACGTGCGGTGCTGACCTGCAAGACTCGCATTTCTTGCTCAACAGCACACAAGTTGAATTGGTGAGGTTCTTGCAGCTATGAGGTTGCTCAGACAAACTTTCAAGGTTCAAGGGCCAAGACAAAGACCTTCTGCACAAGAAGTATCTCCACAGCCTATCTTCCACTGCTGCTCCCCTGACAACATTTTTCACCTCCCCACGTCTCCATCCCGTTTCCACCGCACCAGCATATGCTCCTGTCAAGGCAAACAATGCAGCTTCCGTGCGTCCTGTTCAGCGGCGGGTACGACTTGAGATTCAACGTGAGATCAAGAGCTTCTTGCACGGGGCTCATGAAATTTTTCTGCGAGTCATTGACCATCCTCTCAGGAAGCAGTTTGACGTTGATAGGCGTCGTCGACTTCCGAACAGCCGGGTAGTTCGACATCAGTTGAAACTCAGGCTTGAAAGCAGCTCTCCGCAATCTCCTCCTCCTGATTTTCGGATGTGCTTCTGCTTGGTTGAAAAGGTCGAACGCTGGATAACCTTGCTGCTCAGATTTCCTTTGAGACCGTAAGGACGAGGGAAACAGTCAAGGTCAAAACCTCTTCTTGGCTAGATTGTCGTGGTGGAGACAGCTGTGCTCAGAGCAGAACATTCTCTTCCTGCCAACAAACCGTTGACCTCAGCATGTTTCCTCCCCCTCGTCCTCCTCCTCCTCCCAACCAGCCTGTATCCGACCCGCCGAAGACTGCATTCTTAGAACAGCCTGAGGAGTACCTGGGCGGAGGTAACGACAAGGGGAGGGAAGAGGATGGTGAGACTCACTGGCACTTGGGGTTGATCAGATCTATGTCCTCCCGATGCCGATGCAGGGAGCAGTGAACGGCAGCCCCTCCCACGGGACCGAAGACAGGTCGCCTGCACAGGAGTTGGGGAAGCAAGATGGCAGTAGTGAAAGAACCGTCCGCAGTCAGAGCAGCTTCTTAGCCTCTTGGAAGGTGCCGCCCCCTGCCATGAACATGAGGAGAGGTAGAGCAGGCAGGCAACGCACCAGACCAAGAACCGGGTCGTTCATATGGGCAGGGGGCAACAAGAGAACAGTTGTCATGGCCAGTAGCAAAGTATGTCGACCGCTCGCTCCCCTCAAGGCATCTTGCATCGGAGCTGAGTGTTGAGCACAGTAGCACTCAACATGCGCGTCCTGGGCTTCTTGCCTTCAATGTTCTCATGGGGAACCGCCCGAAACTCGCGCGAAGGGGGCGAAGATGGGGACAAGGGAAGGAGAAGAGGAAGAGGGATGAGGAACTAGCTGGGGAGACATGGAGGAGGCAGGAGGGGCGGGGGAGGGAGCAGGAAAGGAAGCAGGAGGGGCAGGAAAGGACTCAAGTCCAATAAAATTCCTTTGGAATTTTTCAGTCATCGGCGGCAATGAACATGAACATGAACATGAAGATAACGATGCCGGGGGTGATCGGGGCGGCAGCGTCAAGAATGGCGAGGAGGGTCGACGGGCTGTTCTCGTATGAGAGAGACAGCAGAGCGATCAAAGGTCATTCTCCTCCTCCTCCTCCTCCTCCTCCTCCTCCTCCTTCCGCTGCTGTCTTCCTCCTGCCCACCTTTCTGCGGCCCTCGCTCGCTCGATCCCTCCCTCCTTCCCTCTCTCCCTCTTCCTCGCTAACTCACCGCAGGCGAGCTTCCCTCTGCCTCTCGCCTCAAGGTCAAGGTGGTCTCAGCACACCAGCGAGTGGACATGCAGGGGAAGCCGTTGGTGGTGTTCATAGTCATGTGCAGGTTCGACGAGACAGAGTGGAACGTGGAGAAGCGATTCAGCCAATTCTTCACACTCGATCAAGAGCTGTCGCGCCTGCTAGGCTGGGACCTCTCCCACTTCCTCCCCGAGCTCCCGAGGAGAAGCTTGTTCATCGTTCATAACCCCGAGCACATAGAGCAGAGGAGAATGCAGCTCGACAAGTACATGAACGGTCTTGCTCGACTCGCTGCCAACGGCTCATCGGCCTTTGGGGGAGCCAAGGAGGAGGATCTGGCTGCTGGGATGCATGTGCTGCACAGCCTGTACAAGTTCGTGGACTTTGTGAATCATGTCATTCCAGGCGAGGATTCCTATCTCCTACTTCCAGATGTTTGATTTGAATGTCTAATCTCGATGTCTGTTCTTTATGTTTGATCTCGATGTCCGATGTCGATGTTTGATTTCTTCTCATCTCCGACCTCTTCTCATGGTACAGCAGGGATGGGGGATAGAGCTTTGGACGAGGAGGAGGACGAGAACGTGGCGTCAGAATCGACAGGTAAGCTCGACTCACGGCATTCGCCATGCATCAACTTGTTTCCTGCAGGCCCGACGCAGAGCCCTGAGCTGGCGCTGGCGCTGGCGCAGGTGAAGCGAGTGAAGGAGAAGCTAGCAGACGCGAGGATCAGAGGAGAGTCAGACAAGAAGCTCAAACATGATCTAGGGCTTCAGGTTCATGTTGTCTGCTGTTGTTTCCCCTTGCTCAGCTCGTCAGCAGCTGGTGCGGCTGTCGGAGCAGGTGCAGGAGCACCAGGATCAAGCAAGCGAGCTAGCGGTCGAGATTCAGAATCGCATGAAGGTGGTTGCGAGAATGAAAACGATCTGAGGAGGGAATGACGTCATTGCAGATCCGATGCGAGACAAATGAATGGATGGAGACGAAGAGAATGAAAGACGAACTGAACTCATACAGGGATCAGCGCATCTCAAGAATCGCCCGGCAGTGAGACTTGTTCTCTGCTCTGCAAGTCTGTAAAGTGGCGATGGCTCAGGACCCCATTTGCCAGCAGCCCTCTCAGGATAGGCCCCTGGAGAGTTGACCCTGGACGCTATGAGGACTTTAAGAACCTTAAGGTCGATACTCTGACGTACCTTTTTGAAGGGACAGAATTCAATCGACTTCACCACCACTATCCACCGCCATCACCATCACCGCAACCACCACCACCCCACGTCCACAACAACTACAACAACAACTACAACTACTACTACTACTACTACTACTACTACTACCTCATGCTCCTCCTCCTCATCACCATCATCATCATCATCATCATCATCATCATTATCCTCGATCTTTGACTTCGTGTTGTTGAACATTCATCCTCAGGTAGTGGAGCAGATCAACAAGGCAGCGAGCGAGAGCCTCTCAAGGTGTTCAGAGAACGAGGTCTCCTGCGAGGAGTTCTCCAGCTCCACCCCAGCTCTGCTCCTCCGCGAGAATGCGGACCTCACCTGGCTGCTCTGCTCAGCCATCGAGAGGAGGGCGAAGCTCGACAAGCAGCTGGAGGATGCTCACGTGAGCGGGAGGAGTGGAGGCCTTGATGACGTCATCCGCCCCTTCGTCGGGTCAGAGGCCAGCACGCGAGGATGGATGGAGTTTTCTCCTCGGCATGGCAGCAGGGAGAGCTCCCCCTCCTCTTCCGCTGCCGCCACCAAGAGTCCTCTCCTCCTCGAGCCCAAGAGGCTCTTCAACTCGGGAGCTCCCAGCAACTCCGGCGGGCAAGACGAGGGCGGCAAGAGAGAACGAGACTGGACGCTGCGAGGCATCAAGGGAAGCATCATGAACAGGTTGGCCAGGTTGGAGTCTCCTCAGCCCCCCCCCTCCTCCTCCTCTTCCTCTCCGATCAACAGCAAGCGTGTTGAGTTGGAGGCGGTGGACCTGGGGGCGGTGGTGAGCAGCCTGTCGCGGTTCATGGAGGAGGGGACCTACCTCCTCGTCTCTCAACTCGAAGACGTTCGACAGGCGAGGAAGGAGGTCGAGAGCGAGTCTGCCGGGCTGCAGGAAGAGTGCGAGAGGTGAGTCCCTGCTGATGCTCCTGCTGGGGGTGACAAGACTGAGACAGGATGGAGAGGGAGCTTGCTCGCTTGCAGAGCGAAAGGGACGACGCAGTCGCTCGAGCTGCAGCCGATGCCAAGATCAAGCTGGAGCTGGCAGAGCAGGAGAGGAAGAAGCAGTTGAGAAAGGACGTGGGGGCAATGCCCTAGCAAGGCGGATAGCGAGGGGAGACAAGATGTAATGTAGGACGAGGAGGGCGGAGCAACGAAGACACTTATTCTTTAAATGAAAAGACGAAGAGATCAGCTGTACAAGGAAGCGAGAAGAAGGGAAGACTATTTGACACGAATCAACAGAAATAATTGGAGAATAGGAACAGGAGGAGACGAGAGAAAGATAGTTGCGCAGTGGTTCGCAACCGGAAGATACATCATTCACACAAGTATGGTTGGAGAAGCAAGACAAAAGACGGGCATGAGACAAGTATCTGACAGCTCAATCAGCCGCCAGGTGCTCCATCACTTCATCCTTGACGGAGGAGGAAGGCTGGGACTGGGACAGTCTGCCAGCAGCCACCCACTCCTTCCTCTTGCAAGTCTTTGACAGAGGGTGCGTGTCTGTCTGTATCGCGTAACTCTGCCCTCCCCTCTTCGCTCCTGGCAGATGCCCCTGCTGTCACGTCAGGAAACCTTTCCTCTGTCTCCTCTTCCTCTCCTCCTCTCTGGCCCGGTCCTCTTCAACTCCCTCCCGGATCCCCAGCACCCCAGCCACACCCCAGTCCTTGCCTCCTCCCGACTCTTCCCTCGCCCCCTCTCTTGTCTCCTCTCTTTCCCTTCTCCCATCCTCACCACATAAACTCTGCAGGTGACGTCCTCGTCCTCCTGCCCGCAGCCCCTCCTGTCCCAGATCAGGTAGCTGCCGAACCATCTGTGCATCCTCCCTAGCAGAGCCTCGTCCTCCCGCAACCCTGATCCCGTGAGCAGCTTCCGCTACTCAGCGAGGAGATACGTGAGAGGGGGAAGGAGAGAGGAGGAGATCTCACCTGCGCCTGACCGAACCTGTCCTCGATGAAGTCTCCCTTCCTCAACAGCAGCTGGTGCACGTTCTCCCTACCGATCGCTTCCCGCAGCTCCAACGGGAGGTTTGTATAGGGCGCGAAGATCTCCAGGTATCGTCCCACGTGAGCGATGTGATTGGAGTCATACCAGAAGGCAAGAGGCATCAGCTCCATCGCTTCCTCTCCCTCGACCCTGACGCGATTCTCCTCCTTCACCAGGCCCCCTAGCCCGTATCGGCATGACAGGGTCCTTGGGTGCGAACAGTTCATGACGCTGGGGAATCCAGCGTATCTGATCCAGCTGACAGATCTCATCGTGCTCAACACTTGGGGGAGACGATCGAAAGACGCAACAAACGATCGGTCATGCTGAACTATCAGCGCAAACTCAGTGGAGCAATGCTGCAATCCACGTTATACCCTTCCCTCCCCGTCACTGCCATCGCTCTACCTCCAGCCCATAGCGCACCGCCATGGCAAACCCAAAGTGCTCGGGGCAGCGGAGGAGGGAGAATCTCGAATCAAGAGAGTATCTATTTGCAAGGTTTTGATAATACAGCTGCGGATGAGTTCAGCTCTTCACCGCACAAGTTACAACATTCACCTCATAGGATTCTGCCATCTCCTTCGTGACCCTTCCTCTCTTCGTCTGCGCTGTCTTGTGTATCTTGTAGCCATCTAGAACGATCTTGATGCCTCCTATACAGGATTCCACCCCTTCTACCAGCGCCAAACTCGCTATGACTGGCTCGATCAGACCGAGAGACGGATCGGTCCAGGAGGGAGAAGTCACAATAACAACGGTCAAGTCCATAAGTCCTTCTCACAATCACATACTTTTGACCTGCGATCCGATATGTCAAGGTCCATTTTTCCTCCCCTCCTGGCCTCAAGTCCATTCCTATCGCCCCTGCTTCAATTTTTCGATCGCTCCGACTGCTTGAGCCATTCAAGTAGTCTTGGCGTATTCGCACATCAAAGCATTCCTTCTACCCTTCTTCTTGCTCCTCTACTCTCCCAGTCTCTCTCCTCTCTTCCTCTTCCTCTTCCTCCTCCTCCTGATTTGCTGCCCTTCCCCTCCCTCTCGCATCGCTCGACATTTCTCCTGCTTTCTGTTCGTCCTGGGGCAAACTCGGATACTGACCACAATACCCCTACCCCAATGTTTCAGGGAAATTAAGGGGTACTTATTTCCTCTTGAGACTCCACCCCCACCCGTCAAATACGATGAGATCATTTCGACACCCCTTGTCAAGTACCCTCACCCTTCTTTTTCCTCAGTTTTCAAGTCATTCACCCTGGTACTTTCCCATTTAACGACCTGTCTATCGGACCCCTACCCATCAAGATTCGATGACCCCGATGCCCTTCCTGATCTCCTCATCCCCTCAGGGGGTCAGGCACGAGGACCCCCACACCCCACCCCACTTTCAAGGCCTACCCTTGACGATCACCCTATGTACTTTATCACTACCCCCTTCAAGCAATCAAAGTACCCCTCCATTCATCTGACCTGTCGCGCAAAAAAGAGCAAGGACCGGTACTTTCCAGTCCATGCCACCGAAGTATGGGGTCGGAGAAGATTCCGTCCCCTTGCATGCAGACCCTTCCTTGTAGTTATTAACCCCCGCGCACAATGGCTCCTCCGCCTCCTGCTCTCCTTCCTTGCGCTCCCTCTCCTTGTATTCGTCTTACATCGCTCCCTTGACTGCGTGTTTCCTTCCCCCCAACATGGTCTCCCTGCTCATCCCTCATCTCCACTTTTCCTCTTTCCTTGCATGTTATGACGTCCTGGGTTTCTGTTTGTTCCAGCTCTACTCATGTGACATGCTAACGTGTTCGCCGTCTGTTCCTCTCTCTCTCTGCTCACGTCTATTGAGAAGTTGTGTTCAGCGCTCTCTTCTTGTCCCTCCCTCCCTTCGTATTGGTGCTTTGCGTGAGCATTTACGTTTGCGTACCCGTAGCCACATTCAAATAAGTTCGAATTTCTCGCTCCTAATGCTAGTCACGTATGCATGGGATGTTGGAGAACTGAGACCAAGGCGCAGGTTCTCCTCCCTGTAATCAAGAGATGGAAGCCTACAAGCCATGGGCAGACGCTGTTGGCCGCCAACTGCTTAACTTTGCAGCCAACACAGAGTTGTTCGATGACAGCGGAAAGGCGATCAAGCCCTTGCCCACGCAGGTGCGTTGAACCTCCTCGAGCCTCTTGATCTCACTAGCTGGAAGGGTTGGTTCCTCACCGACTTTGCCTCGGCCTTCGCCATCTCAGCCATCTACTTCGCATTGGTCATTGTTGGAAGAGTGAGACACGTCGAGCGGCTGTAGAACACTCCTGACGTTGGTGCAGATCGTGATGATCCCATTCCGATCCCTGGACAAGCTGACGTACCCCATCCGCTTCGTCTACAACATCCTGCAAGTGATGCTCTGCTCTTACATGACACTCGAGGCTGGCATCCTCGCTTACAGGCACAACTACAATCTCGTTCCGTGCAACCCCTTCAAGACTGAGAACCCTCCCATCGCCCCTGTGCTCTGGTTGTTCTACATCTCCAAGGTCCTGGACTTCATGGACACTTTCTTCATCGTGCTGGGCAAGAAGTGGGAGCAGCTTTCCTTCCTGCACGTGTACCATCACCTTACGATCTTCATGATCTACTGGATGAACGTCAACGTGGGGTATGACGGAGACATCTACCTGACCATCGTCCTCAATGGGTTCATCCACACTGTTATGTACACCTACTACTTCGTCTCCATGCACACCAAGGACATCTGGTGGAAGAAGTACCTCACGATGATGCAGATGATTCAGTTCATCACCATGAACGGGCAGGCAATCTGGCTCCTCCAGTCCAACTGCCAGACCTTCCCCAGGAAGGTGACGCAGTTGTACCTCGTCTACATTATGTCTCTCTTTGCTCTCTTCCTCAACTTCTTCATCAGAAGCTACGTCTCCCCCAAGTCAAAGAAGGCCAAGAAACATTAGGCTATGAAAATCTCTCTTTTTGTCGAAATGAATTTTTTCTTGTTGTTTTCTTCTGTGTTTCAAACTCACACCACACCGGCAACGTGCTACCTGTCTCAGCCCTGCCCTCCCCTTTCCTGTTCTTTCACTTCCTCATCGCCCAGTCCGCCATGGCACACGCTCCGTTACTAGTATCTCTGCGCTAACGAAGGTACTTACTCGTGCTTTTCGGTTTTTCGCGCTGAAATCTCTCGCCCCTCGCATGCTCGCTCGCTACATACAGAGCTTTCTCGTGCGCAGTCTTGGGAATCCTCAGCTCCCCGTCGAGGTACAGTTTCCTGCCCGGCAACGGAGGGATGTTCGAAGGCGTCAGGCCGATTACACTATGAGGACGAGGAGGCATGGTAGAGGCAGTAGAGGCAGTAGAACGTCTTGAGTACGTCGAGATCAGCAACTGAAAAGATGTCAACGATGTATATGAGGTGGAAGAAGACCAGGAGGAGGAGGAGGAGGAGGAGGAGGGGGAAGGGGGGGAGGAAAAGGATAAACAGCAGCAGCAATTTGAGAAAGAGAAGCAGCAGCGAAAGCTGAAAATAGTGAACCTTATTTTTTGAGATGAAATCCTTGGATTGCCTTGAATCAGTGAGAGGTTTTTTCTTTGACCCCTGAAATATCCATCTCCCTTTGATCGTGCTCTCTATGATAGGAATTCCGGTCTCGTCCAACGATTGGAATACTTTAGGGGCATTTCTTGTACCGAATCTTGCGTTGATTTCTGAGACAAATCTGTTCTGGATCAAAGATTCGATCATCGTCGTCTTTCCTTCGAACAGCTGTTGGCCATTTCTGACCGTCTTGAGGACTTTGGTGTGGGGCTGATAGTTGTCATCAAGACGGTCCCCTGTCAGAAACCTATGGCTCATGATGTTTGTCATGGCAGGCATTCCAGTTTCACTGTAGATAGAGTTAGCATCTTCGTGATATGCGACAACTGTCAACATCACTCTGTGGATTGCCGAAAACTACTTTCCCATATGTTTGTTGGCATGGGTGCTGATCTGCTCTGAGCTGACTCCATCATGCCAAATTAACAACCTTCCAAAGACTGTAAAGAGTCGACGTAAGACGAAATTCAAAGGACTTTCCTTCCCTCCCCTCCTCCAATACAACCCAATCGCCTTCTAAGCCCGCCCCTCTTCCACTCTCTGTTCTGCTCCCTTCCTCATTGCTTTATCCTCGTCTCTCCCCATCTTCCTCCTCTTCGCCTTCCTACCTCTCCGCCTCACTTGTTCTCCTTCCTTCTCTCCTTCTCCTTCTCTCTGATAGATCCCACTCTCTCCTCTCATTCCCGTCATCCTTCCTCGCATCTACTCCCCCAAAAACTCCACCATTTCCTCTATCACCCTTTCGTTCTCTCATCCTCCCCTCGCTCTTGTTCTCCTCTTCTCTCCTCGGCTCACTTCTCCATTGCATTGTCCCTCCCTCCTTCTCCTCCATTTTTCTCCCTGAGTGAACATTTCCCCTCCTCTACTTCACTCTCTCCTTTCGCTTTTTCAATTCTCACTTGACGTTCGCCTCCTCTCAGCTTTGTATGCTTCTCCCTAATCTTTTCTTCCTCCTCTCCTCTCTTCTCCTCTCCCCTCCCCTCCTCCTCTCTTCTCCCATGGGTCCTCCTCCAAAATCCAACAGCAATTTGACTTGGCGGTCACCGTCCGTTGATGAGGATGAGGGTGATGATGGGTACGAGGGCGATGAGGCTCCAAGTTGAGAGTCACGTCGGAGTCACGTTGACTAGATGGGCGAAGCATGAGGGAGGGGACGGGTGGGCGCAGGGAGGAGGAGGAGGAGGAGGAGGAGGAGGAGAGGGGAAGAATGAAGGATAGATCAGAGATGATTGATGAGGGGGGTGAGAGTGACAGAGAGTGAAGTGGGAGACAGAGCAGGAGTGGAGGGAAGGGAGGCCGGGCGAGTCACCATAGCCATCGGGCCTGAGAGGGGGAGGGAGGGATAGAGAAGAGGGGGGCTGGAGAGGAAAGGAGTCACCGAATTTGATCCATCAGGAGAGGCACTTGACAAGTCTTGCGGTGGCCGGAGGATCTTCAAGATGCAGCGCTGACGTCATCGCAACGATCAAGCCGCGAGGAGGATCCGTGGTGCCCCCACGGGCCGAAGTCGCGAGGATGAAAGACTTTCCCGCCTCTCCTCACCCACTAGGCACTGTCACATTCGTCTCGCGGAAAATGCGGGGATTCTACAAGGTGACGAGCAGGAGGAGGAGGGTCGAGACTCTCCTGTTGGCCCTTTGACACTGCTGCAGGTAGGATACATCATGCAGAATGGGGTCGGGATCTTTGACATGAAGGACGGGAGGTGAAGGAGGAGGACGGATGTATGCCATGGCGTGACCCTCTCCAGATGCTACAAAGGAATATTTGACTGGCTTGCAAACGCACCCTTGCAGAGTTACAGTGGCGAGTCAAAGAAGCGTGCTGTCCCAGCAGGGTCCTTTCGCAATGGTGTTGAGGTTGTTGAGAAGGAGCAGCAGCGGGAGCGGTTGATGAAGAAGATCATGGAGAAGAAGGAGGAGATGAGGGAGGATGCGAATCAGAGGTATGCTTGCTGTTTGTTCCTCAACAACTATGACTACCTGCTCCCTCTCAAGTCTGCAGCTATCCACCAGCTCCGTCACAGCCTTCGGCTATACCGTTCCTCAGCTCTTGAAGTTCCTGGTGTGCTGCTCTAACTTGATCAAACAATCCTCTAATCCCTGCTCGAAAGCTGACGGTGGAGAAAGAAATGATGATCCTTGACCTGCTCGAAGGGTGGAACGAAGAGACGAGCATGAGGTGGAGGACCAAATGCTTTCGCATCATGATGAACAGGTATGAAGGACTCGGTCAGAGAGATGTGAATGACATGGCGGTAGGGCAACCGAGCTGCAATTCGAGGAAGAGGAGAAGGAAGATGAAGGTCAACAGGGAAGCTGGAGCGACGATGAGTTTGTGAGCTATGATTGGGTTTGAAGCATCATGGGTGATGAATGGCTGGCAGTTTGGAGATTCTGCCAACAACACGGAGAAGAACACGATCGACCAAGAGGAGCTGCTCTTCATGGTAGCTCCAACATGGTTCGATGGTCCCATCGCAAGACGTTGACAGAGTTGTTTCTCAGCTCCTACAAGACCTCTTTGAGTCCATCTCAACCAGCAAGATTTCAGCAGCCTATTCACATTTTCCTCGCTCGAAGATTCTCAGGATTTACGTGCAAGACATGCAGGAGGTGAGATCCTGCTCTTGTCCTCCAGCAGCTCGTGAGAATCGGGGGCCAGGATGCCGTCGGAGAAGACCTGCTCCTCCTCACCAACAAGTGGTTGAGGTGAGATGCAACTTTGCGCCATCGCCCCTCTGACATGTTGTGGTGGAAACTCTTGATGGAATTCTGCGAGCAGCAAGGTGAGCAATGATCCCTCCTGTACATTTCCTGTTGGCTGACAAGTCTTGTTCGTAAGATCACGATCTCAGAGAGTGCAGGCGAGCGAGAAGCAGAGAGCGAGGAGGGAAAGACTTGGTGCTAGTCCTTTGCTCTAGCCAGTTAGTAGCTTTTCCCCCACAAGATATGGCAAGTCGCCGGTTGATCGCAGGCAAAGCATCTAGTGCCCTCAGCCACTTCGTCTTGCTGGGAGGGTATGCATAGCGCCTTCAAGCTCCCCAGCATTGCGTCTGTTTCCTGCTCCTCCTCATGGCTTGGAGAGCCTCGCGCTGGCCCCTTGCTCTTCTCAACCACAGCCTCCTCACAAGCCTCTCGGTTGCAGGAAGGAGCAACAGCCATCATTCCCTTGCCGATCGCTTCCATGAACTCCTCCAATCCCGTGACTTTCCTCGTTTGCTCCTCTTGGACCCTGAGCGCGCTCTCGTACAGGCTCTGTTGGATGTCCTGTAGTATTTTCTCCACCTGCTCCCCCAGCTGCTCTACCGACACGTCGAACTTGGCTCTGTTGTCTCGTCGCACCAGACGAACTGATCCTGCCTGCATGTCCTTGGGCCCATACTCGAGCCGCAAAGGCACCCCCTTCATTTCCCAGTGATTGTACTTCCAACCAGGGGTGCGAGACGACGAGTCGTCGATGACGGTCCTCACGCTCCTGCTCTTGAGCTCCTCCTCCATCCTCACCAGGTCTGACTTCATCTGCTCCGCATTGCAGTCTTCCTGCATGATCGGGATTAGCACTACCTGCACTGGCGCCACTCGGGGAGGGATGACCAGCCCCTGGTCGTCGCCATGCAGCATGATCATGATGCCGAGGCTTCTTGTTGTGAATCCCCAGCAGTTCTGCCACACTTGACACTTCTGGCTGCTCTCGTTCTCAAACTCAATCTTGAAGATCTTGGCGAAATTCTGCCCGAGGCCATGGGAGGTGGCGGCCTGGATTCCTCGGCCGGTCGCGGGTATGAACGCCTCGGTCGACATGGTGTAGTCTGCTCCTGCGAACTTCTCCCTCCTCGTCTTCTCCCCCTTGATCACAGGGACGGCGAGAAGATCTTTGTACACGTCAGCATACATGTCCAGCACCTCCAGCACTTCTGCTCGGGCTGCTTCCTCTTTCTCGTGCGCCGTGTGCCCCTCCTGCCATAGGAATTCGCGAGTGCGCAGGAAAGGGGTGGGGTGCTTGAACTCCCAGCGGATGACGTTGCACCACTGGTTGATCTTGAGAGGGAGGTCCCGATGGGACCGGATCCACTTGCTCATGTACGGGTAGATCACTGTCTCGCTGGTGGGGCGGATCGCGATTGGGCTCGTGAGGTTGGAGGACCCGCTTCTCGTCACCCAGGCAACCTCCGGGGTGAAGCCTTCGACATGCTCTTTCTCGGCATTGAGAGCTCCCTCAGAGACGAACAAGGGGAAGTAGCAGTTCTTCACGCCCATGCTCTTGATCCGCTTGTCCAGGTCTTGCTGCACCACCTCCCACATCGAGAACGCCCATGGCCTGAGGATGTAGCAGCCGCTGATGTCGTAGTAATCTATCAGCTCAGCCTTGAGAAGGACTTCTGAATACCAAGAAGAGAAGTTCTCTGCCTTCCTATGCATCATGCTCCCTCCCTTAGCATTCTTCTTCGCTCCTCCCCCGCCACGAAGGGGCAGTAGGAGACTCTTGCTCTGACGTCTCGACCAAGGCCTGTAGCCGGCTCTCTCCCTGACGCCTGACTCTGCACGTCCTCCTCTGCTGCTACTGCTGCTTCCTACCGCCATCAACCCCAACAACAGCGCAACGGCCCGCATCCCGTGCATGCTGCAGTTCCTCCCGTCCCTGGCCGTGGAAGTTTGCGATCGGATGATTAGGTAGAAATATTACTGCCCTTACTACTTCACTAGATACTCAAATGCGCAGGCCCACACAGTCACTCGATATACCCGGCCCGGCCCGGGCCTCGGAAACTGCGGCTCAGTAGCCTAGGAGTGTCGGTCGAGTCCGGGCTGGCTCACAGAGTCCGATGATCGGCGTGGGCCGGGAGCTCAGCGACCTCCACCGCCCAAGCGGATTGTACTGAGGATAGTCGGAGGACTCCCGGACCAGCGCTGGTCTCCGAGGCTCGATGCAAGGAGACAGAGATTTATCTCTATGAGTGACTCGCGGCTGCGCGGAGGTTTTGGAGAAGCACGCTTTCAGATTGATCTATGCCAGGGCCCGCCTGGAACGGGGAGGACGACGACGCAAGCCTTCCGAAGTTGTGCTTTCTCGACATGAGGGGTAAGAAGGGTCTGGTTACCGGGTCGGAGGAGGAGCAGGCTATGGGGGAGCCGAGGCTGGGCTGAGGAGGCGAGGGAAGGTGCAGCTAGGAGCTGGTGAGTTGCAGGGGGGCATCGACGATGCGCGGGGATGACATGGAGGGTAGCGCGGAGAGATTCGGAAGGGCAGCCTACTTGATCTTTGACACTGTCAAGGTGAGTACCAGCGGCTGGCACTGCCGCGTGTGCGGCAAGCTGTCGGGGTAGTGAGGACGCTCTGTGCTTGTAATCTTGAAAGGATGGTTGAGTAAGATGAGCAAACGCAGAGCTTGCTCCTCGAGGCAGGCCCGGTAACTTTGTCCCCAGGGGGCCTGTCAATCTCCTACATGCTATAGCTCTGGGCTGGAGCTCCCCGCAGCTGGCTTCTCCGAGCTCGGAGTTGTCTTCACGGTTTCTTGGATTACGAGGAAATATCTCCGTACAGGGTCTTCGGGCTTAGCTGCGGCAGTTTCGTCGCCGTCAACGGCAGTCTCGGTCTCGGTTCATAGTGCTGATCAAGTCGACGTCAAGACCAAGCTCAGGCCGCGTCTCGAGGAAGCATGGAAGTGCTGTGCGGACGAGGTAACACATTGATCACCCGAGCGGAGCGAGCAATGTTGGGCACTGCCGGGCCGCAGCTGCCCGGCTCCCGGGCGCGGTGGTCCGATCACACCCCGATCACATACCGTAGTGGTACTGATGCCGCTACTTGGGTGTGAGCGACCGCCCGGTCCATCATGGCCCCATGACCGCCCGGCAACGGATGATACATGACATGCTTTATCGCAACATGAAAACAAAAACAACATGAAGCTCACCATAGACATACGGAAAATTAAGTTGGACCCAGCGAACCAGCAACAGGTCAGTCCATTCTCAGGGCCAGTCGGTGGCTGCGCTGGAAGATAGTGATTCCATACAGTTCAGCTGACTGGGACCCCTCAATACTTGAGATCCGCGCAAGCGAGAAATCGTCGGAATCCTTCAGCTACGTCCTCCTTCTTCAGGGGGAAGAAACTGCTGATCTCAGCGGCAGAGAGAGAGGAAGGGTCCTTAGGAATTCCGCAGCTCCTGAAGAAGTTCAGCTCTGCGTCCGACCGAGCCTCTGGAAACTCGAAAACTTCGTTCCAAGTGGGGCGATCGTTGTTCATGATGCACCGAGACCGACGGAAAGACACGCGCTGGCTGCTGTCCGCCTGCTCCAGAGCCTCGACGATGAGGAAGGGATCGCTGTGATTCACAGACGAGTCGAGCATCCCACGCATCCTGTCCTCGTTTGGAATGACGTTGATGCCTCCAATCGTGACCAGCCATCCGGATGCAAACCTGCTGCCCTTGCCCGCCACAGGCGGGTATGTTCTCTTCTCGATCTTGACCGAGATCTTGGACTGCTCGCCTTTCACGGTCAGGAGCTTCTTTCCTGTGACGAGCGGGACCTCAATCATTCCGCCTGTCTCCTTCATGCTGATCACGCATTCTCCAATCGCGTCGTCGTTGGACATCGCGTCGTAATCGCTCACAACAATCCGAAGATGTTGCAATGCCGTAGACGTGTATCTGTTTTGATAGATCCTTGCAAGCTCGTAGTACAGACGATATATCCCAGCTTTGTAATGAGACCAAAATTCTCTCCGGTCTTGCTGATCCTTCTGGCTAAGGGCGTTGAACTCACTCTCCTGAATACCTCGTCAACATCGGAACAGAGTAATCAACTAGTGGACAGAGAGAGTCTTTGCTAGAAGCATGCAGCTCGATTCACCTGAAGGAGCTCGCTACGTCCCCAATCAAAGATGTTGACGATGACTTTTATCATCTCCCTCAGACCAGATTCATCTCTGGTCGGGAGTTGGAACACGTCAAAACCCAGCGCCACCGACGATCCGATCCATTTCTGAGGGACCGGGACCTGCTCGAAATACCTGCAGAGGTCTGACATCTGTTTCAAGATGTTCCGCAAGACTGCCTCGGCAAATTCTTCTCGAGACAGCGTGACCTCAATCGATCTCTGCAACACAACAGCGATCAGCTTCACGCGCCAACATGAGGTAGAAGCATCGACAACCTCTTCCACGTCGGCCAGGTCAAGGAGAAAGTTGAGGAACTTCTCTGCCGAGAGCCGTTGGAACTGCAGGCGTCTGATTTTCTTCTTCTCCTTCTCAGGAGAGCTCGTCTTGCCCATCTCAAGGGAGGGATCAAGCGTTTCCAGAGACGAAGGCATGGAGTCAAACCCTTCCAAACGGTATCCTTCTTTCCCGCTGTTGGTGATGTCATCCACGATGTTGTTCCTGAAAGCCGCCGTCTTCGACTTTCCCATCCAGTCGGCATCTGCCGTGTACTTCCCGATCTTGACATCCTGCATGCGCAGTTTCTTCATCCTGTGGTGGAGGTTGTGCAGGATCAGGAGCTTCTTTGTTCCGAGGTCCTCGCTGCCATCGCTGCTGGTGCAAGGGAGGTCTTGAACTCCGAGTGATTCAAAGGTGTAACTGCAACATGGTGAGATCATGTCAGAGAGCAAGCAGAGCATCTCCACACCTCAACACTCCCCAGCCCGGCTGGTCCTTCATTGCCTGAGCTTTCTCGTAGAACCCGACCTCATCGACAGCATGCGATATGTCTTTGCCGATCCAGCGGGATCTTTCGCCATCTTTCGTTTCCTTTCCATCAAGGACTTCGAAGAGGCTTGCCGTCCCTCCGCTCACTCCCATGGCCCTTCCCTTCATTCCGCTCATCGAGGATAAGGCAGTAAAAAACATTAGTCACCCGGTACAGCATGTATCCGTCATACCTTGCTCCTGAATCCTTATACCAGGACCGGGCCGGGCCGCCACGGCCGGGGCCCGGGCCTGGCCCGATCATGGCATGCCGGGCCGCGTTGCCGCGGCCTCAGTTGAACGGTTCGGTGAAGTTTCAGCCAGTCAGTGGTAGTAAACGGTAGTGTGTGTGCCGTTAAGTGATCGCTGTCTTTTCTCTTCTCGCCGTTTGGCCTGTGCGACAGTGTCAGGGTCAAGCCTCCTCGACTATCCTGATTGTCCTCGTACTGATTTTTCACTTAACTTTGAGTAAAGTGTGTAATGGTTTAGGTGCAGATGCTGCATTGTGAACGGCCCGGGCCACAGGCGCGCCCGGTACTACGGTACGTAGCCGGCCCGGCCGGGCCCCGGCGGCGAGTCAACTTATTTTTACTAGGTTGCAAGACGGGATTCCCATCGGACATTTATCGGGACGCGCCATGGTGTGTCGGGCGGTCCTTATGCTGCTGCTGCTTGCGATGATGCATGTAGAGCTGAGAGGAGGAGAGGAGGAGAGGGCTGTGAAAGACGAGCTAGAAGAGGACTGGCCTATCCTCCTGCTGCTGCGACAAAATGCTGCTTCCTCGGGGAGAGCGAGGGCTGCGAAAGAGCACGAATCGAGAAGCGGGGAAGCAAGACGAGGAGATATTGTCATGGAGGAGCCAAGAGTTTGGGGAGAGGAGATAGTGCCGAACGAGGAGCGAACGAGACATGGTCAGTGGACAAGAGCAGGATATGCCATGCTTCAGAACAAGCTAGACGAGCGCAAGGGTGATGGAAACGTCAAAGTTGCCAAGATGTTTCGAGATGCGATGAAGTTGAAGGAAAACGGTCGATGGGACGAAGCCATCGATCTGCTTCAAACATGTCAGGCAGAGGAGGCAGGGGAAGAGGAGTACATTTCCTGCGCTTTGGGCATGATATTCAGCGAAAGGGGGAGAAACGAAGAAGCAATGGCAGCATTGAAGAAGTCGCTGGCAATCGAACCTGATTGTCCTGTCTTGCATTACAACTATGGTATTGCCTTGAAGGTGAAGCATCACTGGTGTTGTCTTGTCAGTGAGAGATGTGATATGATAGGATACTGACTTGAACGAAGCTATCAAACAGGTGATACTCTGTGCTTGTGGATTGTGGTTGTCCTGTTGTGATTACTGACCGTCGCTCATTTTGCTCCACAACAAACTTCACAGCTTGAGATCTCTGCAAAGCTCAATCCTTCACCTGAGGCCTTCGGTGCTTTGTGCTCTGCAAAGATGGAGAAAGATCCAAAGGTACTTGGTTGTGTCCGGAAGTCTACCCCATGAGTCCGTTTCTTTCAAGTCGTCCCTGTTATGTTTCAAAGAAGCAGTCAGGTTTAAAGCTCTTCCACCTTTCTTGCATTATTACTCTCGTTACCCTCTCTTCCTCTTTCTTCTGTTTCCTCTGCCTCTGTACTACCTTCTACCTCCTCCCTCCCCACTCCTCGTTCCCCGTCCTCTTCCTTGTCCTGCTCCTTCACTATCTGGTCCCTCTCGTCCCACCTTCCTCTCTCCCACCTTCCTCTCTCCATCCTCCTCCTCCTCCTCCTCCTCCTCCTCCTCCTCCTCTTCCTATCTGCTTCTTCTTTATCTCTTCCATGCCATCATCTCTTTTCTCACTTGTCCTCTAACTCGCAAACATGTCAGGAGGCTTCCACGAAGTGCTGAGCTGAGGGTGACGTTTGGAGAGACAATGATGGAGATGGGGAGAGAAGTAAGATCTTTCTCCCCTGATCGACGTGAAGTCTTGACAAGCTTCAAGGACATGGCAATCAGTATGTTCATAGAGGCGGAGAAGATCAAACCAGGCAAACTGGCAGATGTTCCATAGCGGTCTCTTGCTAAGATGTCCATGTTGTCAGGGTGGGCGGAGGCAGTTGCTAGACAAGGGGATTGTTATCGTGCCATGTTGAGGTATATCAGACTCCTGAGTGCTCCATCGTTTTCACCTCCTCCCCACAGACATGCTGAGGCCCTTGAATGCTATCGCAGAGCGGTTACTCCCTGTCCTGTCTTGCTTCCTGCCTCCTGCCTTTCTTGTTCTTCCTTACCTGCTTGCTCTCCTTTTCCCTCTCCTTCCCTTGTCGTTCTTTGCTGCTTGCTTCCTCCCTAGTTTCTGCGCCTATCTATTCCCCCTCCGCATCCCGCTCCCTCCACACTCCCTCCTCTCTTTCTCACTCGTTCCTTCGTTCCCGCCAGGTGAAGCTCAACCCTCGACTAGCAAGCTCATGGCTCGCAATTGCAGAGGTCAAGGCTGAACTACAAGTCACGTGAGCTTTCATCTTCATCTCCTTCTTTCAGCCTCTCTGCTCCTTCGATTTCCTTTCCTGTTCCTCTCTGACTTGCCTTCTTCGCCTCTGTTCCTCACCTCGCTTTTCCTTCTCTTCGTACCCACTCTCTCTCTCCTCTCCCCCCATTCCTCCTGTTTTTGATTCCTCCCTCTCATGAAGTGTACGCCTCTCGCAGGAGCTCAAGAGGAGGGGGAGGCGAGCGAAGGGGAGGAAGCGAGAAAGAGCTGAGCAAGGCCGTCAAGGTTTGTTCTCTCCGCGAGCTGAACTTGACTGACGAACTTTAGGTTGAACTATGGAAGCTTTCCAATCAGGTTGACCTCCTGCTCCTGCTCCTGCTCCTGTCTTCTGCTCCTGCTCCTGTCTTCTGCTCCTGCTCCTGCTCCTGCTCTTGTCTTCTGCTCCTGTCTTCTGCTCCTGCTCCCTCTTCCTGCTCCATCCTGCTCCATCCTGCTCCATCCTCCTCCTCCTCCTCCTTCAACCTCCTCCTACTCCCTATGGAAAGGAAGTGTGCTTTCATATTGCCTCTTGTCCTCTCAGTCTCTCACTCTTCTCTCATCTCCTCTCCCTGCAGCTACCTCTGCACTATTTCCCCGAGCTGGAAGCCAGCCCATGGCTGGAGGAGGAGAAGTTCGCCTGGAGGGAGCGACTGCTGCTGTCCTACCGCAGCATGAAGGAGGAGGTGCTTTCCCGCCTGAGGAGAAACACCAAGGAAAGCTTCCTGCACCAGATCTACTCTTCGATCCCCAACTTCCGCACGTGTAGGAGGAGGAGCATCGATCGTTTTCTCCGAGCGGTAGGATCCGTCTGAATCCTCTTCCATCCTTCCATTCCTCCCTTCCTGCCTCCTTCCTCCGTCTATCCCTCCCTGCCTTCCTGCCTCCCTTCCTTCCCTGCTCCTTCCTGTCTCTCTTCTTCTTCAACCTTCTCCCATCCCGTTTTGATCTCCATTCCCCACCTCCACTTCCGACTCTCAGCAGAGTATATCCCACAGGACGGCTTCAAGGAGCTGGAGCTGTGGCGAGGAGGAGAGGAGCAGGCTTCCTGCTCTCTCTTTCCTCGAATCTGCTCGGTCATCGGGCAGATCCCCGAGGTTGTTCAACACCCTCAGGTCAATCTCCTTCCTTGACTTGCTCTCCGATGCCTCCATCCGCTCCTTGTCTTTGCGCCTCCTCCCTCCACCACCTCCCTCTCCTCCTTCCTCTTGTCAATCTCTCCCTCTCCTCCCTCTCCCTCGACCTCTTCTCTTCCTCAAGTCTCAATCTCCTCGCCACCTCCTTCTTTCCGCCTCCCTCTTCCCCTCCTGACGAGTCTCCAGTCTCGGGTCGCCTTATCTGTCCTCGAGCCTGGAGCAAGCACGTTCCCTCACTGGGGGAAGACGAATACAAGGATCACCGTCCTCTTCGGGTCAGGCATCCTGCTGTTGCCTCCTCCTCGTTGCTCCTCCTCCTCCTGCCCCTTCTGCATCTGCTCCAGCTCCAGCTCCTCCATCCTCCTCCTCCTCCTCATCTTCTCCACAGCCTCGTCTGTCCTGCGGGAACATGGATCCGAGTCGCGGATGAATCAAGAGAGGTAGGAGGAGGGAGAGGAGAGCAGAGGAGAGCTGAGCAGCAAGCAGTGCAAGGAGGGAGGACTTCTCTTCTACGACGACTCGTTCGAGCATGCGGTGAGGTAAGCGGGGGGGGGCGGCGATGTGACGGAGGTGCAGGAGTGGAACAACGGGAGCAAGAGGAGCCTTGTCCTCCTCTTCGATAGCTGGCATCCAGACCTTGATACAGAGGAGAAGGTAGGAGGAGGAGGAGGAGGAGATGGAGAGGGGGCAGGGAAGGAGAAGGAGGAAGAGGGAGGGAGGAGGAGGATGAGGAGGGGGAGAGGAGGGGAAGGAGGCGGGCGAGTCTTGAGCTGCTGACGATCTCGTTTGCTCTTGTAGAGGAAGCGCGCGATTTCTCATCCGTCATACTAGCATCGCCTCCCTACCACTGCTCCCCTACGGGCTCGTTGACCTGCTGCCGTCCACGTCGGAGGGAGGAAGCAGCAGATTTCTTGGAGAACCTGGCAGGTCATCAGAGCAAGCGCGAGGAGGACGAGAATGGCCCGAGCAGCACAGCGAAGGAGAGGAGGGGAACCAGACCGAGGGGGGAACAAGATCAGGAGGCGGGAAGAGCAAGAGGGGAAGAGCAACAGGAGCAGTAGTGATGAGAACCTTCCGGGATTGAAGGGCGACAAGTCAACACACTTGCTCTTCCCGTCGAGGATCAGCTCCGACATGGCGAGGCCTGTCACCTGCCGCCCTCCTGTCAGCCACGCACCTCCTCCCCAGCTCGAGCCCACCGGAGCCCACAAGATCCCCCAGCAGTTGTGCCCAGCTGCTATGAAGGCGTTCTGCGTGCCCGGAATCCGTCCGAGGTACGGCTTCGCATCGGGGGGACATGGACGCATACAGGCCTGAAGGACGATGAGGAAGCGCGAAGAGGAGTGGGGAAGGGGGGAGGAAGGAGGAGGAAGGGAGAGGAAGGGGGAGGAAGGGGGAGGAAAGGAGAGGAAGTGATAGAAGGGAGAGGAAGGGAGAGGAAGGGAGGGACCTGAGCGATATCTGCCTTCTTGCTTCCCAAGGAAGACATGGAGCCGAAGGATCTCTCAGCGGCGGCAACTCTGTAAATTTTGATCCGTTAGGGACAACGAGAAAGGAGGCGAACGAGGAGGAGAATGAGACAAGGGAGGCAAAGACATGGTGGAGGACAACGACAAGGACAACGACAAGGAGGAGGAGATGAAGGAGGGGGGAAGGAGGAGGAGGTGAAGGAGGGGGGGAAGGAGGAGGAGGTGAAGGAGGAGGAGCAAGACAGACAAGGAGGAGGTCACTTTGGAGAATAGAACATCAACTTCTTCCTACCTCGACGGGTCTGCTGTGATCTCCTCGGGGGAAACCTTCTTCAGGTCGTCGTTGTCGAGGTACTTGCTCCCTCCTGCCAGGAGCCTGTCAGGAGGAGGAAGGAGGAGTTGAAAGGTAGCCCATGTGGATGTGAAGGCGGAGGACAGGATGGTAGAGGAGAGAACAGAGGGAGAAGGTAGTCGTGTTTGGGTCGTGGTGGAGAATGAGCAAGAGCAAGGAGGAGGAAGAAGAGTGAAGGAGGAGGAGGAGGAGGAGGAGGAGCAGCAGCAGCAGGTGTGTCCGCAGCAGGTGTGTCGGCAGCAGCGGCAGCAGGTGTGAGAGGTTGTGGTGGTAGAAGCGGAGGAGGACGTTCGTTTGTCTACCGATCCCGCACAAGTAGATCTCGTTGGAGGCCCGGGGATAAACTTCAAGGTGACACCCGTTGGAATCTTCAGCGCAGAAGAGAGCGAAGGCATCCACGTTCTCCATAAGCACCAGCGTCAGAGCAGGAGCAGGAGCAGGAGCAGGAGCAGGAGCAGGAGCAGGAGCAGGAGCAGGAGCAGGAGCAGGAGCAGGAGCAGGAGCAGGTGGGAGCAAGAGGATAAGAAGGGAGCGGGGAGGAGGAGGAGGGAGGAGGAGGATAAGGAGAACAGTTGAGCTACCTCCTCGGACTTGTATACGATAGAAGTTGAGCGCACTCCTTGCATGGGAAGCGACAGGCCGGGGAACCAATCTGAGCAGAGATAAGTAAGGAGAACAGAGCAGGAAGCAGGGGAGCAAGGAAGGGAGAGATGAGGGATTCTGGGACCTTCGGCCATGCAGGACCAGGGTCCCATGGCGATGACGCAGCAGTCTGTCTCGATTGCCTTATCTCCGACTCTCACAGCCTTCACTTCATCTCCTTCCATCTCGATCCCGTCCACCTTTCCCTTCACCACCTTCGCTCCCTTGGAAACAGCTGGAAATCTCATCAACAATGCCTCCTGCGCGTTCCCTTCCTCTTCCTCTTCCCCTTCCTCTTCCTCTTCCCAATCCTCTCATACCCGACCATTGCTCCCCTATCTTGTCCTCTTTTCCCCTTTCCCGTCCCCTTTCTTTCTCCCCGTCCTCATCTCCTTCTCCCTTCCTCCCTTGCCTCTCCGTCCTTTCCATCCTCTCTTGACTCCTCCTGGTTTCCTCCCCATTGCAATTCTCCCGCCTCCGCCTCCTCCCCTCCTTCCTCTCTTACCGAAGTCCATCAGCGCAGTCGTGAGCTCGAACGGGTTCGTCTGAGCCGTCTCGTCATCCATCAGCGATGCCTTGGCAACGTTCTTGTCCAGCCAGGAAGGAGCCTTCCCGCTCGATACCGCTGCCTCCACCGTCTTGCTCCGAGATCCCGCCGCAACGCTGAGTGTGGGAAGCTTACGGTAGCCTTTGAGCTTCAGGTCCTTGGACAGCTGCTCGTGCAGGTCGAAGCTGACTTCATGGAGCTCTGCTGTGTCCCCGTTGCCCCAGCCTCGAGCAAGGAACCCTCCTGCCTTGCCGCTGGCGGCGCAGGCGATCTGCGGGGGGAGGGTGCGGGATGAGGGAGGAGCGGAGGAGGAGACGAGCGTTTACCTCGCTTCGTTCGATGACGGTGGGAGCTACTCCTCGAAGGCTCAGGTAGTACGCTATCGCCGCACTTTGTATGCCTCCCCCGCAGATGACAACGTTCTTGGGCACTTTGGGCTCAGACATTCGCAAAGAGCTCGTACCTCCTCTCAAGCCGATGCAGCGAGGACCGTTCGAGGCGAGCTGGGGGTTTGTATACAAGAAGCCACACGCTGATGCACACAAGCTGAGAATGACAGTGAGGATGATGGAAACGCTGCTGCTCCTCTCCTCTCCTCCCCTCCCCTCTATTCTCTTATGCTCCCCTCCCCTCCCTTCCCGCTGATTTCTTCTCTTTTGCTCTCCTCTCTCCTCGCCTGTGCTATGCTGTGCGACTCTTCCCCCCCCCCCGCTCCCTCCTGTATCCTCCTCGTCCTCGTCCTCGTCCTCGTCCTCGTCCTCGTCCTCCCCCTCCCCCTCCCCCTCCCTTCCTCCCCTCCATCACCTCAGCAGCAGCACCGCTCGCATGGACCTCGGAAATCTCGACAGAACGATCCCTTAAAAAGGCAGACTACCCCTCCAGTATACCACAAAACCACCCCCATCTTGTCTAGAACGGACAATGAGGCCATAGAAGAGACAGGAGGGGACACGACGTAACAGGATGAGAAGGGGGCGAGGAGGAGGAGGACGAGAGCATGGCAGAGAGCGGAGAGAGAGAGAGAGAGAGAGAGAGAGAGCAGAGGAGAAGAGCATGAGGAGGGCAGGGGATCGGACGTAAAGGAGGAAGTCAGCTGCTGAGATCCATGGCAGGTCGACCGCCATGCTCACGTCCTCCTCTATCAGCGAATATCGCGCATGGCGCAAGGTGAGCGACCAGTGGGGGTTCTGGAGCGAAGCTGCGTGACGGCGAGACACAGTCGCTCAAGCTGAAAGACGGAGAGCTAGTAGGCTTCTTCCCGACAATGGGAGCTCTCCACGAAGGACACTTGGTACGTGCGACACTTGCAGCAGCCGTTGATAGTTTGACGCATCTTGCGACAGGATCTGTGCAGAGCGGCGAAGGAGAAGTGTGCCGTCGTCGTCTCGAGCATCTTCGTCAACCCAGCTCAGTTCGCCCCGCATGAGGATCTCGACAAGTATCCACGGCAGCAGGAGGAGGACCTCAAGAAGTTGAGGGAGCTGGGAGTAGACATGGTATTCCTTCCCAACAACGAGATCATGTATCCTCCTGGCTACGACACGTGGGTGCAGGCAGACGTGGGGAGCGGGAGGAACGAAGGAGCTGTAAGACCGCACTTCTTCCGGGGGGTAGCGACGGTCTGCACCAAGTTGTTCAACATCGTCCAGCCAGACATGGTGTTCTTCGGGCAGAAAGATGCTCAGCAGTGTGTGGTCATACAGCACATTGTGAGGGATCTCAACATGGACATCGAAGTCGTCATAGTGCCCACAAGGCGGGAAGCTGACGGTCTTGCCATGTCAAGGTCAGGCAGCGCCACGTCACACGCTGCTGTTCTGTGACTATCGCCTCAGCCGCAACCAGTACCTCACGGGTGAGATGCGCGCAAAGGCTCCTGTGGTATACAAGGCTCTCTGCAAGGCGAAGGTGAGGAGAGGTGAGGAGGACGATGATGTAGTGATGAGAAGCAGGAGATGATAGAAGCTTCCAAGGAAAGAAATGCCGACAAAGTCCGAGAAGGGATGAAGGAGGTTGTTTCATGCGAGAGCAGAGCCGGGTAGATCGCTCATGGTGTGCTTGTTGAGCAGGTGCTCAGTCAGGAGCCTCTCGTCCAGATACAGTACGCGAGCGTTCTGAGCACTGACACTCTGCTCGAGGTGGCGCATCTGCGGATGAGGAGGAGGAAGCGCCGGACTGAATTCCTTGCAGGTTGAAGAGGTCGAGAGCAAAGTTCTCATCGCCATTGCTGTCATGCTTGGAAGCACAAGATTGATCGACAACATGATTGTACATTCCGGGTAGCGAGCAATGAAATGATCAAAAACCCTCCAATCTCCGTGCTCGAAGTTGAGAGAGCCATGGCTGAGATTCGCAGCACCTGCTAATCGTCTGCAAACAGCACCTGCACGTCTCCTGACAAGCTTCCTTGCAAGAACTCGACGGTGCCGTATCGGAGGTGCTGTGGGCCTGTGAACCGAACAACTACCTGAGGCAGTGACGGCAGTCAGTCGGTTGAGAACACCAACGGCTGCAACCTGTTTCCTGCCCTCGTCAACGGACACAACTTCCACCTTCGCCTCCAGCTGCTCCAGTACAGGGACCAGCCCTTTAAGAGCGCCCTCGACTCCTTCCCTGCTCCAGAGCTTTTTCGCTTCCACTCCTGAGCTCCCTGCGCCGCCACCCGCGCCCGGGAAGAGGTCCAGGGGCAAGACAGCGTACTGACGGAACTTGCCATCAGGAAGGGTGGGGTTGAAGTAGACTCCTCTATAAGATCCATCATAGCCTGCGAGGGATCAACGTTACCAGCAAACCTCCTCCATCCATACCGTTGAGCGTCGCGTCTCCCGCCGAAAGGATCTCTCCCCCCGTGCTGCTGTACTTGATGTAGACTGCTCCGAAGTCGGACATGTCCAGCGCCACCCCGTCCTTGTCCATCCCGTGCAGCCTCCCCCTCGGCAGCTCCAGGGCACTCACCCACGCCTTCAGCGCCCCCACTCCCTCCTCTGCGCTCTCGGCACAGAACCCCATCATGACGCGCTCGGAGGCCCCACACAGGGACAGCACAGACTGCCGCAGCCCTTCCCTATCCTCATACGCCCTCGCCCACCTGCATCATGAGGTGAGGATGGAGAGAAGCAGAGGAGGTCCTACTTGAGAGCTGAAGTTCCTCCTCCAAAGCCTTCCCCTCCCTCCCTCGCCGCCTGCTGCTGATCCCGGTCGAACGCTTCCAGCAACCTCTCACAATCTTCAAGCTTGCGTTGCGGTTGGCCGGAGGAGGAGGAGGCAGCGGTGAGCGTTTTCCTCCTTACATGCAGTAAGCACGAAGAGGTCGATAGCAATGGCTTGCCAGCAGAGGCTGGCGAACACAGGGGATAGGCATGAAGGAAGGGAAGGAGGAGGAGGAGCATGAATCGAAAAGAATGGAGGAGCTTACAGAGGAGGAGGAGGAGGAGGAGGAGGAGGAGGAGGAGGAGGAGGAGGAAGAGGGAGACACAGGGGGAGCGGCCTCGGGCATTGTTGGCAGATTGTGGGCACCAAAGCTAGCTCTGAGGCGGGTTCGCCATGGCATAAGTGGCACTGACACCTTGAGCTTCTCCCCCACCCCCCCTCCCTCCCCCGTTCCTCGTTCGACTCTCGTCCTCCCTCTTCCTCCTCCCTCTCCCTTCTCTAGTCACCCTGACTTCCCTCTCCCCTCCTCCCTTCTTCCTTGCCGCTTCTCCCTCCCTTCCCCCTCCTTCCCTCTTTCGTCCGCCTTTCTCTCTTCCTCCTTCCCCATTGCTCCTGTCTCCTCTCTCTGATCCATCGCTCTACATCTCGCATTCTCATCTTCTCTCGCCATGGGGTCCGACGTCGAGGCAGGAGGACGAGACGCTCGTCCGCATGCTGTGGTGGTGGGAGCAGGTGAAGACATTCGCGTCGGTACCGCCCATGACCTCAACGACGCGCAGGGTTCGGCGGCATGTCGGCAGCGGCTCGTCTAGCATGCTGCGGATACAAGTAGCTCATGTTCAACCTGCGGGAGTTCTTGTGACTTTGCATGCTCCAGCGTGACGTGCGTCGAGAAGCATGCGACACCTGGCGGTCTGCTACGACCCCACTTTGCCGGCACTGACTGCGGGCCCTAGGAAGATGCACGGAGATCGTGAGAGAGGGTCACAGGTTCGATGTCGGTCCCAGCATCATCTTGGTATGCTCGTCCCTTGGCGGCACGTCCTGTGCTCACGTACGTGCAGGTGCCGTCAGCCTACTTCGAAGCCTTCGCGTCCATCGGAGATGACTTGGTGAGTCGTGAACAGAGAGAGACGGAGGAGGACGGAGGATGGACGACGACGACGAGGAGGAGGAGGATGGACGAGGAGGAGAAAGAGGATGGAGGGGGAGGAGGAGGAGGAGATATCATGGCAACAGGTTAATTCTGACGTGCTCGGTCATGATGGTAGAACAATCACGTGGAGCTGATGCGAGTTGATCCCACGTACACGGTGAGGGGAAGGAGATCAATGGAGATCAGAGCAGCTTGTTCCGAGTGATCAGCAAGTGAAGTCTTCTTGTCCCCCCAGATTCGCTTCTACGATGGGACGAAGCTCGAGCTCACCGGGGACCTTCAGGTGTTGTGGCAGAGACTTTGAGACGCCCTGTGCTGACGTCACCATGGCTGTAGCGGATGGAGACTCAGTTGGAGTCTATGGAGACGGGAAGCTTCAAGAGGTGGGGAGAGGAGACATGTGCTGACATCAGCTATGTGATGCTGCTTGTTTAAGTTTCCTGGGGCTCCTGCATCAGGGCCATGACAACCTGCACATGACTTTGGAAAACATCGCTCACAGGTATGCGGGAATTTGACGTGTTGTTGGGAGAAAGTCTCAGTGGTTGTCGCAGAAACTTTTATTCTTTGTTCGAGTTCTTCTCGCCGCTGAATGCTTTCCTTCTGCATAAGTGAGCTGTTCTTCCCGTGAAGTCGACAAGATGTGACTTGTTAACAAGGCTGAAAGTTCTGCGCAAGCACTACAACTACATCTCTCAAGTCTTCAAAGACTCGAGACTCCGATCGGCCTTCTCGTTCCAGGTCTGTTGAGGGACCGGAAGAGGCTAACTTGACTGTAATGTCAGGACATGTACATCGGCGTGAGCCCCTACGACGCCCCAGCCACCTTCTCTCTGCTGCAGTACACGGTCTGAGCTCCAGCTGGACTCGTAGCTGGACTGGTAGGGATTGACAATTCTGCGCAGGAATTCTGTGATGGGGTGTGGTACTGCCGAGGCGGGCTCTACAAGATCTCACAGGCGCTGGCGAAGGTCTTGCAGTCAAGAGTCACTTGCGTGTGGAAACTGAACATGTCATGATGAGATTGATGATGATCGACGTGCTTGTAGTATTGTGATAATGTCAGGAAGAAAATGATCATGACGACGATGACGACGATAATGATGACTTTCATGATGACTTTCATGAAGAAGAAGTTGAAAATGATGACGATGACAATGATGATGATGATGATGATTGATGATGATGATGATGATGATGACGATGACGATGACGATGACGATGAGATGACGATGATGATAGAT